TTTCTAAAATTTTTGAGAGGAATGGAAGATTCGATATAGGCCGATAGTTTTTTATATTTTCCGGGTCAAGGTTTGGCTTTTTCAAGAGAGGCTTTATCACTGCCACTTTTAGTGAGTTTGGTACACATCCGGTGGATAGAGAGCTGTTTATTATGTTCAACATAGGAGGGCCAAGCACAGGAAGCAGCTCCTTCAGCAGTTTAGTAGGAATAGGATCCAGTATGCAGCTTGAAGGTTTAGAGGCCATGATTATTTTCATCATTGTGTCAAGAGATATAGTACTAAAACACTTAAGTGTCTCTCCCGATCCCAGGCCCTCGCAGAGCTGTGCAGATCCAGGACAGCTAAGCCCTGGAGGAATACGCAGATTCAAAGAGGAGTCCGTAATTTGCTTTCTAATGGTCATGATCTTTTCCTCAAAGAAGTTCATGAATTTATCACTGCTGAAGTGAAAGCCATCCTCTCTTGGGGAATGCTGCTTTTTAGTTAGCTTTGCAACAGTATCAAAAAGAAATTTTGGATTGTTCTTATTTTCCTCGATTAAGTTGGAAAAGTAGGATGATCGAGCAGCAGTGAGGGCTCTTCGGTACTGCACGGTACTGTCTTTCCAAGCTAGTCGGAAGACTTCCAGTTTGGTGTGGCGCCATTTCCGTTCCAATTTCCTGGAAGCTTGCTTCAAAGCTCGGGTATTTTCTGTATACCAGGGAGCTAGTTTCTTATGACAAATGTTTTTCGTTTTTAGGGGTGCAACTGCATCTAGGGTATTGCGCAAGGTTAAATTGAGTTCCTCAGTTAAGTGGTTAACTGATTTTTGTCCTCTGACGTCCTTGGGTAGGCAGAAGGAGTCTGGAAGGGCATCAATGAATTTTTGTGTTGTCTGAGAATTTATAGCACGACTTTTGATGCTCCTTGGTTGGGGTCTGAGCAGATTATTTGTTGCGATTGCAAACGTAATAAAATGGTGGTCCGATAGTCCAGGATTTTGTGGAAAAACATTAAGATCTACAACATTTATTCCATGGGACAAAACTAGGTCCAGAGTATGACTGTGGCAGTGAGTAGGTCCAGAGACATGTTGGACAAAACCCACTGAGTCGATAATGGCTCCGAAAGACTTTTGGAGTGGGTCTGTGGACTTCTCCATGTGAATATTAAAATCACCAAAAATTAGAATATGATCTGCTATGACTACAAGGTCTGATAGGAATTCAGGAAACTCAGAGAGGAACGCTGTATATGGCCCAGGAGGCCTGTAAACAGTAGCTATAAAAAGTGATTGAGTAGGCTGCATAGATTTCATGACTAGAAGCTCAAAAGATGAAAACGCCATTTTTTTTTTTGTAAATTGAAATTTGCTATCGTAAATGTTAGCAACACCTCCGCCTTTGCGGGATGCACGGGGAATATGGTCACTAGTGTAACCAGGAGGTGAGGCCTCATTTAACACAGCAAATTCATCAGGCTTAAGCCATGTTTCAGTCAGGCCAATCACATCAAGATTATGATCAGTGATTAGTTCATTGACTATGACTGCCTTTGAAGTGAGGGATCTAACATTAAGTAACCCTATTTTGAGATGTGAGGTATCACGATCTCTTTCAATAATGGCAGGAATGGAGGAGGTCTTTATCCTAATAAGATTGCTAGGGTGAACACCGCCATGTTTAGTTTTGCCCAACCTAGATCGAGGCACAGACACAGTCTCAATGGGTATGGCTGAGCTGACTACACTGACTGTGCTATTGGCAGACTCCACTAAGCTGGCAGGTTGGCTAACAGCCTGCTGCCTGGCCTGCACCCTATTTCACTGTGGGGCTAGAGGAGTTAGAGCCCTATCTATGTTGGTAGATAAGAGGAGAGCACCCCTCCAGCTAGGATGGAGTCCGTCACTCCTCAGCAGGTCAGGCTTGGTCCTGTTTGTGGGTGAGTCCCAGAAAGAGGGCCAATTATCCACAAATGTTATCTTTTGGGAGGGGCAGAAAACAGTTTTCAACCAGCGATTAAGTGCTGAGACTCTGCTGTAGAGCTCGTCACTTCCCCTAACTGGGAGGGGGCCAGAGACAATTACTCGATGCCGACACATCTTTCTAGCTGATTTACACGCTGAAGCTATGTTGCACTTGGTGACCTCTGACTGTTTCATCCTAACATCGTTGGTGCCGACGTGGATAACAATATCTCTATACTCTCTACACTCGCCAGTTTTAGCTTTAGCCAGCACCATCTTTAGATTAGCCTTAACGTCGGTAGCCCTGCCCCCTGGTAAACAGTGTATGATCGCTGGGTGATTCGTTTTAAGTCTAATACTGCGGGTAATGGAGTCGCCAATGACTAGGGTTTTCAATTTGTCAGAGCTAATGGTGGGAGCCTTCGGAGTCTCAGACCCCGTAACGGGAGGAGTAGAGACTAGAGAAGACTCAGACTCAGACTCCGACTCGCTACATAATGGGGAAAACCGGTTGAAGGTTTCTGTCGGCTGAATGAGCGACACCGGTTGAGCATTCCAACAGTATTTCCCTCCAGAAGCCATGAGAAAGTTGTCCGGCTGCGGGGACTGTGCGGGGGGATTTATACTGACGTTACTGTCTGTACTTACTGGTGGCACAGACGCTGTTTCTTCCTTTCCTACACTGATATTACCCTTGCCTAACGATTGCGTCTGAAGCTGGGCTTGTAGCACAGCTATTCTCGCCGTAAGGCGAGAATTCTCCTGTATATTATGAGTACAGCGACTGCAATTAGAAGACATCATGTTAATGTTACTACTTAGCTTCGGCTGTTGAAGATGTTGATGAACCATGTCCAGATAAAGCGTCCGGAGTGAAAAAGTTGAATAAGGGAAAAAAGTTGCGATGGAAAAAAGGAAAATAACGTAAAGTTGGCAGCTAAAACGCACAGGAAAATGACTCTTCTGTCTCGGGATAAACGTCCGGGGTGAAAAAGTTTAACGAAAAAAGATGAGTGAGGACAAAACTAAAAAGTTGGTAAATTTGTTGAACACAGAGATTGATTAAACGTTTATTAAAAGTAAAACGTGAATAGTTTGGCAGGTTTGGCATACAAACGTCATTCTGTTAATGACGTTTGTATGCCCACACCATTCAAACCCAGAAAAGCAGTTTTTCAACATACTTAATTAACACTTTTTGGAAGGAACTCTATTTCCCTCATATCGTAATTAATTATAGGTCATATTTAATAGAAATCCAGAAACAATGGATAGTTACTCTAACAGTAAACATTCATATCAGCTGTCCGCCTTCCTCTGGGTTTTACACAAAGAAGAATGAAGGAGGATTTTATATATTTCAAAATGGTCTCTTATGGGTTCAGGGACCTATCACAATGTGAATACAACACAAAACGTGATGTAACAGTATGAAAATGAAAATGTATGCACTCACTAACGGTAAGTCGCTCTGGATAAGAGCGTCCGCTAAATGACTAAAATGTAAAATGTAATTGGTAAATGAGTTGCAGAAATCGGACCAATAGGAGGTGGTTTTGAAGTGTATGAAACTCTTCATTTATTCAGTCTTCAAGGAGAACGATCTGTAAAACCGAAACGAAATCTAAACGCAGAAACGCGGTGGGTTTACGTTTAACATAAAATAAGCACCTGTATCATTTTACTGTGCTCCAAGAGTTGCTGAATTTCATATTTAAAAAAAATAACATAAAACATATTTTTGCCATTCAATGTAATATCCGGGTGAATGTTTTTCATGTTGCCAATGGTGCTACCATATCAAAATTCCTGGTTGCACAGCAAAATATTTGGGAGCATGAGAGCCCACAGTACCAGTAGTGGACATAGGAGGGCAGTGATGCACGCTATTCATAGTATTTGTCAATGTGACTGATATAGAAGAAGAGTTCATTCGGGAAGCTGTCTGTTTTTAGCAAAGAGAATTGGACTGTCAAACGTTTCTGTCACAATATCTATCAAGGTAACATCAATGAAACGCATACATTATGGAAATTCTTGGCATGTTTTGGTAAATAAATGATGCAGTTTGTAGCTGAGGTGTCAGCAAGCCTGACGATAGTTTAGCAACCAGGTATTATACCAACATTAGCTAACTAGAGCCTGTCAGTGTAGCTAGCTAGGTAAATGAGTCATTCTGTAAACATTGATGGCTGAAATAATTCAATTCCTGAATATAAATGGGGACTGTAGAATGAAAGTAAACTGGAAATGTATGACTTCCTAACTGACATTTTTTAAGTTGAGTGTCTTTTACTGTAACAAAGGTATCTTAGCCATGTGGGTAGCTAGCTAGGTTGGCTAGAGCTGCTAGCACAGTGTACTAATATATTTGTTGCTAGCTAGCTAGATCCTTTATACTCCAGCTTGAAACTTGCGCATGGTGGGTGGGTGTGTGGGTGTTGTTGTTGCTGTTGCGAATGGACAACACGTCACGCACGCGATGTATGTAGTTTGCAATTTGTGTGGGTGCAGGCTTTTGCTACAACCAAGCAGTAACACCTGTTTATTGTCCGAATGCTTTTGAATCAAGTGTGCTACTAGTTCTGGCAGTGATTTCGAACCTTGACTGTGGAATGTGTGGATGAAATTTAGCTAGATGTTGAGGAATTAAGATCAAACTGTAGCCGACCCAGGACTCGAACCCCGGTCCAGCGACTGTCAAGCCAACACCTTAACTGCTTTGAACCTCTTGAAGAGGTCGCTAGGTATTGGTTTAAGGTCGCTACATTACCCCCTTCAGGAGAGCGTGTCCACACTCTTCTCTATACCAAGTCCCTCCTGTGTACAAACCTCTCCGATGGCCATCCCACTTTGTAGCAAATTCAGTGGGTAGCCCCGACCCGGACTCGAACCCAGGTCCAGCGACTGTCAAGCCACACCTTAACTGCTACGCCAAGAGGTCTGAACCTGTTGACGATGTCGCTAGGTGTTAAGGTCGCTACAATATGTTTCTGTCTCTTTCCTCCTGCTCCTCAGAGCCCATGAGAAGGAGATGAGTGTCCCAGACTACATGCAGTGTGCTGAGGACCATCAGACGGTCCTGGTGGTGGTCCAACCTGTGGGCGTCGTCCCTGAGGATCAGTTCTTCAGGATCTACAAACGCATCGCCTCTGTGGCCCAGGTCAGCATCCATGTGTACTAGCTATGAGTGTATCCCAAATGGCACCCTATTCCAGGGCCCGCTCTGGTCAAAAGTAGTGCACTATATAGGGTATAGGGTGGCATTTGAGACACAGGCTGGGCATGTGTCTTATTATTTATTGAAATATGTAACCCCAGGCCACCTTGTAGTTATTTGTTTTTGATGTAAATGTTTTACCATTGGATGCTGATTGTCAAATGATCCCTATTTTGTTGTGTGTTTTGTCTTTTCATGCTATTGAAAAAAAGGTGTCCATCCGGGACTCCCAGCGGAACCTCTATATCCGTTACCGCCACCACTACCTCCCAGAGAACAACGAGTGGGGAGACTTCCAGACACACCGCAAGGTTTGTTGCTTTTATTTTTCCTATTTGTTGCCTTTCGTAATGTGTCTTTGGGTTTCAGAAATGCGCTTAGTTTTTTGTTATGTGTCCTGCACAGCAGCCTTCCGCAAACCTCTCCTTGGGGATTCGCAGCTGTTCCATGTATTTGAACTAGAGTTAGCATACCTGATTCAACTCATCACCTAATCATCAAGCCCTTGACTACTTCAATTAGGTGTGCTAGTTTAGGGCTACAACAAAACTGTGAAACGTCTAAGAAGCACAGCTGTACAGTATGCGTGTCTTTTTGTCCTGTGCATGAATTTCCCCTCAGGAATAATAAAGTCCTGTCTGTCTAGGTGGTGGGCCTCATTTCCGTGACGACCTGTGGTTCGGCTAAAGAGTGGCCCCAGACCTTGGACCGTTTCCATGGCCAGAAGGAGGTGTTCGGAGCCACGCTGTACGACTCGCGGCTCCTGGTGTTCGGGCTGCAGGGGGAGATAGCAGAGCAGCAGAGGACGGATGTTGCCTTCTACTCTAGCTATGATGACTGTCCCGATGTGGAGAAAAGGGTGGAGGACTTTGTGGAGTCCATCTTCATCGTGCTAGAGTCCAAGAGGCTGGATAGAGCCACAGACAAGTCTGGGGATAAGATACCACTGCTCTGTGTTCCCTTTGAGAAGAAAGACTTTGTGGGGCTGGACACTGATAGCAGGTGAGTTGTCTTTTCTTCTGCACTCTATTTGGCTTTTAAAGGTCTGGTATCATCCACATGTTTTGCTGTGTATATAATTTGGAACCAACAAGATAGTTGGTTATTAAACAATTTCCATGAGCCTGAACTGTGACTTCTGAATTGATCAACAGTCTATTAGTTTAACAATTGATAAAATGCCTGAATACTATATTTGCCAAGTGTAGCCTAATGGTTGTTAGATGGTTGTTTCATGATTGTTACAAGGTGATGGTAATTACACTAACAACATTGTTGTGCTAATGTTTGTTATATGGTGATTGAAAAAGCCTGACCTCAGTGTTTCTCTGATGTCCATTGTCAAGATATCCTTGTCGTTACATTAATGTTGCTAAGGACAGTCAACCTTGAGTGTTTATTTCCCCTTTTAAAAATCTGTTTATATTTTTGCTTCTTTCCTTTTTTCTTTGTTTATCTTGGTTACTTTATTTGTCTTTCCCATTTTTTTCTTTCATACTGTCCTGTGAGTTTATTGTTGGGTGTGAAAAGGTGAGCTGCTGTTAGACATTGCTTTAGTTAAGTCCATCCCAGTTCCATCAGCTTAAGCCCCACCCCTAAACGAGACACTCTGCCCAGGCCCTGCCCCCTACCTCAGTGCTCTTGTGCATGGGTTCAAAGCTTAGATCCAAACTCATCATTCCTCTCAACTTTGTATGAAATAAAATCATAACAAGTTCTGAAGGAGCTGATAGTTTGGACATGCAGAATACATGAAACTATCAGTGACTGAGGCTTGTGAAGGTTGGTTCACTTAAACAGTGAGGCTATCCTATCTATTCTATTATGTGCTTGTAAAGGTTTGTCCAGCCTTTCAGGAACTTGAGGATTGGGAAGGTTGTCACCTGACCCGAGCTTGACTGGGTGAAATAAGGTCTGTACTCTAATTCTTTACACATTCTATGACATGGATCTCATATCTTCTACTATATTCTGCTACTACACCTTAACATGGATCTCGTATAGCCGTGATTAATGGAGGGATGCATCACCTTTAGCTAGGCTTATTATTGCTCCTACTTATGAAAGCATGACTTTCAATATGGTATCCATGTCCTTCTAAGCAGACCGTACATAAGGTATTGCTCATCATTTTATTTCAAACATTTTTTCATCCGAAAAGTTTAGGCACAACTCATTATACTGAATCTGAACAAAATGAGCAATTGTACCATGAATTCACTAATAGCATGGAAATCAACCCCATTTAGCCCCATTGACACAGCATCATGCTTTCTAGGTAAAAAAAATACTTGGTGGGTTTGACCCTTGACCTTCCCAGTATCTCAGGCTCCAGTAAAGAGTTAGACAGACAGAGGTCTTGCACACGTCTTGAACTGGCCCCATTTTCTTTTGTTAGAATTACAAACTGTGATGTTGTCTGCCTCCTCTTCAATCCTGGTGTGTTTAATGTGCAAGACTTCAGGATCAGGGTGGTTCTGGTTATTTCTCTCTATTGGGTTCTCCCCTCCCCAACCCCTGTCTCCCTTGCTTGTGCTGTCCCCCCCCCCCCCCCCCCCCCGTAACTGATTAGATTAATTCAACAGCGAGTCTCCTCTGCTAGCACCCAATGGTACCTGGGTAAGAAAATACATTATGCTCAAAAATGACTTTTGTTTGGGAGAGAGAAGACCATGAAGAGGGTTTTTGTAAAAATGATGTAAAAAGTAAACCCTACTTGCATAATTGTTCGCTGTAACGTGGACAAAGTTGTATTGTAAATTGATATCTCTACGACATCTGAAGGACACTAGTTGATGTTTCCCTCCTCCTCCTCATCTAGGCACTATAAGAAGCGTTGCCAGGGCCGTATGAGGAAGCACGTTGGGGATCTATGTTTGCAGGCAGGCATGTTGCAGGATGCCCTGGTCCACTATCACATGGCTGTGGAGCTGCTCCGCTCCGTCAATGACTTCCTGTGGCTGGGGGGTAAGACTGGGGAGGAAGACATGGCTCTTCCTCTTCCTGCTATATTCTCAAATCCCATAAAGCAGGGGTGGATACTCTCAGGTTTTTGCTACGACCCCACTATAACACACCTGATTCTACTAATCAGCTTCTCACCATGACCTTGAAGGAGATGAGGATCTGAATCAGGTGTGCTACAAGAGGGTAGTAGCAAAATCCTGCCAAGCCCAGGAGCTCTCCAGGAGGACTGTTCGCCACCCTTGCCATACATACATAATTCCCTTTAGAAAATACTTGTAATGGGGGGTTATGATATTCTGTTTCATTGACACATCTCCCTTATGTCTTGGTTCTCCAGCTGCGTTAGAGGGCCTGTGTTCAGCCTCTGTTATCTTCCACTACCCTGGGGGAACAGCAGGGAAGGCTGCCGGACGCAAACCCAGCCTGGCACAGGGCCAGGGCCAGGCAGCTGATGCAGGGAAGAGGCATCGGCCAGGTAAGCAGCACTCCTCGCTCTCTCTGTGTGTGAGGTTGGGGGTGGTCTTCTCTGTGTTTAACTTTTTGATTGGCCAAGGAAGAACCGTGTCCGGGGTGGGGGTGGGGGGGGGGGACAGACCCAGTGTTATTATTGAAAGGGATGGTCTCTGCGTGCCTTAGGGTTGAATTAGAGTTTTTTTAATAAAATGAACAGTGTGGAGATGTTTCAGGAGGTATGGGGCTCAGGGGGCTGTCTGTACGGCTGGAGAGGAGGGATTGGATGTACGGTTGTAATGTGGTGCTGGAGGGTGGATTGTGTTGTACTGTGTTGTGTAATGTGATTGTGTGGTGGTTGTGGTGGCATGCAACATTTCCTCCACAACCTAACCCATTTGTTCTGAACCTTATTTAATATCATATTTCCATTCACCGATATCTTTACTTAATATTATTAACAAGTCACTTACTTTAACCCCTTAATAACAACACATATTTTTATTTTACTTGTACATAGTTTATTACTGAAGTAATTAGCATTAGCCTACTATAGCGCGGGGATGGATGGGAAAGTCACAAGGAACCGGCTGAAAAGTGGCTTGTTTGGGGACTAACATTGCTTTCAATAACTAACTGCACTGTGTGAACCTGCATTCTCTCTCTGTGTGTCTGTCTGTTACTGTAGGGGCACAGGAGGTACTCATAGACCCAGGTATGGTATGACACTAACCGGCCAATGCCGCGTAGCTCTACTTGTAGCTAGACATCTCACCTGTGTGTGTTTTCCTGCTGTCTGTCTGTGTGGCCCATTTCCTTATTACTTGTGTTTGGTTTCATGCTTTTTATGATGACAACCTCCTAGCTTGGTCTCAGATCTGTTAGTGGTGTCTTACCAACAAAGGCCAGACAACACAAACAGATCTGGGACCAGGCTAACAACCCATTGCACTGCATCTGATTCCAACTTTGATTGTTTCCACCACTGGTAAATCAAAACAGATGTTTTTTTCCCGCCTCTTAAGGCAGGTATTGTATTTTTGTCAGCGTTAGATGTTTTGTGTTCATGCTTGATCACACCATTGACCTCTTCTTCTAGTCAATGAATAGTAACCATTTTAAAATCATGATCAAGGACATTATATCCAACACTATGTACAAGAAGAAGCACATAACCTCCTATTAGATTTCAAAAGTGATTGAAATAATAATCCAATCTAAATTACTGAAAGTAATTCAGACATGCACCAGGAGGTGGCGACGTTGCTATTGAAATCGCAGCACTGCTGATTGAGGCATCCAAGCTTTGTGAGTCTACTTCTCCTGTTGCCTCAAGTTACAATGTAGAACTGTTCAGAGTGAGACATTTCGGCCAACCTATCCGTAAGAAATACTGCAGAAATTAAGCTCTTATGTTTCCTTTTTAGGAAGTGTGTTTGGTTTTACTAAACCATTCAACCCAAGGGGTCTGTGTAAAGTGTGTAGTTCCGACCGTAGATGTAGCAATTTGCACATTTTGTCTAACACTTAATATATAAAAAATATAATGATATATACCCTATAGCAGATGCTTTTATCCGAAGCAACTTAGTAATGTGTGCATACATGTATTACGTTTGGGTGGTCCTGGGAATCAAACATGCTTTCCTGGCGTTGTAAGCGCTTCACTCTACCAACTGAGCTAGAAAGGACCACTTAGCAGATGCTTTTATCCAAAACAACTTACAGTACAGTGAGTGCATACATTTCTAGTATGTGTATGTGTTCCCAGAGTAGTCTTATGATTCACATGTAATGCTGTGTCATAGTGACATCGCCGCGACGCCGTTGCTAGGCAATGTTCTATCAATACTACATTTGTATTGAAATCAGATGGGTAGAGGAGAGAGAGAGATTCTCCTTGCACATAATCGTTTTAGAACCATTTCAATTGAAACATTCCAAACTACTGAGCACATGATGAAATCAGCCTCAGCGTCATTTTGATCACATAACAGTGCACAGTGACCCTCAAAGGCCCTTTATTCATAGATAGATTGTTGTGTACAATGCATGGCAATCATCGAGTGTTGTCTTGATATGTCGGTGTTTGAAACGCCTGTCGATGCGGCATTAAATGTGTATGCTCAGATAGGCTATACACAGTTTGCCAGTGAGTATGTCATTGTTGTGACTTTGGCCATATGCATCACAGTAGGTTGGTGACACCTTTAATTGGGGAGAACGGGCTCGTGGTAATGGCTGGAGCAGAATCAGTGGAATGGTATCAAATACATCAAACACATGGTTTCCAGGTGTTTGATGCCATTCCATTAGCTCCGTTCCGGCCATTATTATGAGCCGTCATCCCCTCAGCAACCTCCACTGATATGCATGTGTGAAGGACCAAGTGGTGGATGTGTCTGATAACATTGACAATCATCCCGGTCATTTTTCCTTTTTCTCTTTCTCTCTCCTCCTTTCTCCTTTTCTCTCTCTCCCCTCCCCCATCTCTATCTCTGTCTCTTTCTCGCTCTCTATCTTTCTCCAGGTGCCCTCACAGCCAATGGGATCAGTGCAGACACCAGCAGTGAGATTGGTCGGGCCAAGAACTGCCTGAGCCCTGAGGACATCATAGAGAAATACAAGGAGGCCATCTCCTACTATGGCAAGGTATTGGAAAAGACAAGAAATAGACACACACACTATTGTATGTTCCTATCTACTTTGTTCCATCTCCTTCTGTAGCAAGGGATTGGAACAATAATTTTTCAAAAGCACTGTACGCACATCTAGCTATTTTTCAGGTTCAGGGTACAAAAAGTATACATCATAGAAAATAAACAGATACCCACACTGTTGAATGCTCCTACATGCTTTATTACATGCAATGTTTCAACAGAAGGTTCAGTGTTTGTACTTTGCAGACCAGTGCTGTTTGCAGACTATTCCATTATCCGCTATCCAGTTTGCAGTTCTCAACATCTCCACCAGGGGACAGTAGCACACTAGGTATCAGTGATGGTTGGGCGTCTGATGCAGCAGAGAGGGGCTGTGTAGCTGTGCCTGCCTGACTGGCTGTGTCCACACTGTAAACAAACTACTTACATGCTGACTCAGATGGTCAACAGTGGAAAGCTTAGCTAGCATGACGTCACTGTCTGTTACTATTAGACAAATGGAAGTGTGGGGCCATCTCAGATGCCCTATAACTCCATCAGTTGCAATTAAAAAAATAAAATACATTAGTTAATTGCATTGTTAATCTATTGATAACTATACTTACTGGTGTAGCACAGGTATGTGTTAACAAAAACAATCAAACCTTGGGGGTAAAAACACAGAGGGGTAACTTCCCAGCAGTATACCACCTCCCACTGCTGGCTTGCCTCTGAAGCTAAGCAGGGTTGGTCCCTGGATGGGAGACCAGATGCTGCTGGAAGTGGTGTTGGAGGGGGACATTGCCCTGTGTTAGTTGCCGTCTTTCGGATGGGAGGTTAAACGGGTGTCCTGACTCTCTGTGGTCACTAAAGATCCCATGGCACTTATCGTAAGAGGAGGGGTGTTAACCCTGGTGTCCTAGCTAAATTCCCAATCTGGCTCTCTTACCATCATGGCCACCTAATCATCCCCAGCTTCCAATTGGCTCATTTATCCCCCCTCCTCTCCCCTGTAACTATTCCCCAGGTCATTGCTGTGAAGGAGAATGTGTTCTCAGTCAACTTACCTGGTAAAATAAATTAAAACAAAATAATATCCCTGTAGGCCTTCGGAAATTCTGCTGTGTTTTATCTCCACTATTATAATTGGCTTCTTGCTCTGACTTCCCTTGGTCCTTTTACCTGTAACTAGTTCACTCCAAATGAAATTACATTATATATCAACACGACAGGGCTATTCAAATATTAATTGCATTTTAATAAGGAGACAATGCGGATAGGAGTGGGTGGGGGATCGCGTGTGAATGTGTGAGAGAGCACTACTGTACCTCGACTCAGGTTTCTACTTCATTAGATCTACTACTCGGGGAGAACCCGGGACTCCCCTGGAAGAACCAATGAACAAAGTAAAAATGAACGACGGAGGTTCCGTATCACCACATGGACTGTAATCAGTAATCTGATAAAGATGTCACAGAGAGAAAGTGACATGATGGAATACATCGGTTCAGATTATTACGCCAGGTGGGAAAAGCCATACTAGTCCTCACTGGTTACTTATGTTTTCCTTATGCTGGGCCTGGTCAGTTCTTATTGTCCTCTTCCTTTCTATCTCTCTCTCCCTCTCCTTCCATCCCTCTCCCAGTATAAGAATGCAGGCGTGATAGAGCTGGAGGCGTGTGTGAAGGCAGTCAGGGTGCTAGCCATTCAGAAGAGGGCCATGGAGGCCTCCGAGTTCCTCCAGAATGCTGTCTACATCAACCTGGGACAGGTAAGACCTCACCTGATATGTAGATGTACCTCCCTGTGGGGGGAACCATCATCCTGGTCTCACACACATTCTGTTAATTAGAGACCAGAGTTTTGCTTAGTCAAGTCCCATGCATAGATCTCATATTCAGGAAAAACTCTGGTCCCCAGTTGTAATCTATAACCAGGGCCCAGAGTTTTACCTAGTCAGATCATATAGTCATGAAAGACTCCTGACACCAGAGTCTTTCTTTCTGCCAACACCCAGGTCCCATAGTCTGTTAACACCCAGGTCCCATAGTCTGTTAACACCCAGGTCCCACAGTGACTGTTAACACCCAGGTCCCACAGTGACTGTTAACACCCAGGTCCCACAGTGACTGTTAACACCCAGGTCCCACAGTGACTGTTAACACCCAGGTCCCACAGTGACTGTTAACACCCAGGTCCCACAGTGACTGTTAACACCCAGGTCCCACAGTGACTGTTAACACCCAGGTCCCACAGTGACTGTTAACACCCAGGTCCCACAGTGACTGTTAACACCCAGGTCCCACAGTGACTGTTAACACCCAGGTCCCACAGTGACTGTTAACACCCAGGTCCCACAGTGACTGTTAACACCCAGGTCCCACAGTGACTGTTAACACCCCAGGCCTCATGCTCTGGCATCAGATCCTATAGTCAGGCACCTGTCTCTGCTGCTTTCCTGTGTGATGATCACCAGAGGATCTGCCTGCCAACAGCCAGGTCACATAACACAGGAACGCTCTTCTGACAGGTGCCTGAGGCCATCCTGCAAGAAACTGAAAGCCTGCTCTATTCAGGCTCTGCTCTGTAGGCGTCTCTCTAGGAGGGAAATCTCACTTGAGTCTCAGACAGTTCTGCCAGTGTGCCACCACCTCCTTACCCACTGTGCAGTGACTGATCGTTCTCATAACCTTTCCATAGATTTGTTTTATAAATCAAATTGAACTTTTTTCAGAGATTTATTTGTGTTAACGTCAAGGATTTATTTGTGTTAACGTCAAGGATTTTCTAATAATAATATATACCATTTAGCAAATGCTTTTATCCAAAGCGACTAAATGGCATTTATTATTATATACTGCACAAAAATATAAACACAACATGCAACAATTTCAACAATTTCACTAAGTTACAGTTCATGTAAGGAAATCAGTCAATTTAAATACATTTATTAGGCACTAATCTATGGATTTCGCATGACTGGACAGGGGCGCAGCCATTGGTGGGCCTGGGAGGGCATAGGCCCACCCACCTGGGAGCCAGGCCCACCCTCTGGGGAGCCAGTTTTTATCCACAAAAGGGCTTTATTACAGACAGAAATACTCCTCAGTTTCATCAACTGTCTGGGTGGCTGGTCTCAGATAATCCCGCAGGTGAAGAAGATGGATGTGGAGGTCCTGGGCTGGCGTAGTTACACGTGGTCTGCAGTTGTGAGGCCGGTTGGGCGTACTGCTAAATCCGCTAAAACGACATTGGAGGCGGCTTATGGTAGAGAAATAAACATTGAAAGCTCTGGCAACAGTTCTGGTGGACATTCCTGCAGTCAGCATGCCAATTGCACGCTCACTCAAAACTTGAAACATCTGTGGCATTGTGTTGTGTGACAAAACTGCACATTTTAGAGTGGCCTTTTATTGTCCCCAGCACAAGGTGCACCTGTGTAATGATCATGCTGTTTAATCAGCTTCTTGATATGCCACACCTGTCAGGTGAAGGGATTATCTTGGCAAAGGAGAAATGCTCACTAACAGGGATGTAAACAAATTTGTGCACAACATTTGAGAGAAATACGCTTTTTGTGCATATGGAACATTTCTGGGATCTTTTATTTCAGCCCATGAAACGTGGGACCAACACTTTACATGTTGCATTTATATTTTTGTTCAGTATAAATCCTTGACGATAACACAAAGTTATACAACTTATTTCCAAATGAATCTCTGGAGAAGTTCAACTTGAGTTATAAAACAAATCTGGGACAACCCGTATGTAAAATGTATGAACGCATTAATGTATGTCTGACTTAGTCATGCGTGCATACATTTTACGTACATTTTACGTGCAGTGTGTGGTATAAATAGTTTTTCAATGATCTAATAGAATCAACCAAACAACCTATTAACCAACCAACCAATGATCTCTCCTGTCTGTCTTCCCTGTTTTCTCAGCTGTCAGAGGAAGAGAAGATCCAGCGCTACAGCATCCTCTCTGAGCTCTACGACCTTATTGGTTTCCACCGTAAGTCAGCCTTCTTCAAGCGGGTAGCAGCCATGCAGTGTGTGGCCCCCACCATCCCAGAGCCTGGCTGGAGGGCCTGTTACAAGCTGCTGCTGGAGACCCTGCCTGGATACAGCCTCTCCCTCGACCCCAAAGACTTCAGCAAAGGTACCCGACTGGATATGCCTCTCCTCTGTCACAAAAGTGTCCCATACACTGTAGAGTGATCCCCTACAACTTTAGATGATCAATAAAAGACACACACACACCTCCCTGTTTCAGTAACGTCAATACTCAAAGCAAGAAATTGAATAACATTGCCTTCCCCTGCCCTGAGGTTTATTTAAAGGATCTTCTCTTCAAGAGCTCTTCTCAGTGGTAATACGTATTCAAGGCACCTCTTTGCGCAAAGAGACACACAATTGATTTGAGACCTGCACTGACCCAGGCCTTTATAAACTGCCACTCTGCCAGGCACACATACACCCGCTCTCACTCATGGTCCTCAGGATAAGCTGCTGTGCACTGCAGGCTCTTGAACCTCACCCTGCTCAACCCACTCCACCACGAGGGGTTGGAGCGTAAAAGAGACACTGACAGACAAAACAAAGATTCAGAGTCATCTGTATCTCTACTGTGACCCTCGTTCAAAGGACTCACTTGAGAAGAGTTTCTGTCAGACAGAGAGAGAGCAGTTGTTGTTGACCTCCACTTCACTTCCATGGAACAGTGAAGGGAAGAGAGAAACTATTGTGTGAGGTAGTCAAACGATTATGTTGGAGTGTAGTTGAGAGTGAAGTGTGTTTGTGTGTCTGCGACTATGGATTTCTTCCTCCATGCATTATTTTACAAAGCAAAGAAAGACTAAATATATGTTCTTCATAAGGGACCTTCTACTACGGCCAGGCCTCTGAGACCTTCAGCCTGAGGAGAGGTGTCAGGTGGGAGTTTATTGAGCTGTGAGGAGAGGAGAGCTGGCCAGGCCCCTGTTGCAGGAGGGTAACGTCAGAGAGGAAATGGGGCTTAATAGTGCATTCCAACAGGGTACAGGGCTGGCCGGCAGAGAAATGAACGAGCAAATTGGTTTTTAATTGGCTAGGGAGCCCTCTCAGTACTCTCCTCTTTACCAGGGTGAGAGGACTGTCTCTCACTCTCTCCTCTCTCTGCTCTCTATCCTCTCTTTCTCTCCCCTCTCTCTCTCTCCCTCCCTCCCTCTCTCTCTCTCTTTTAGTCTATTTGTATCTCTTTGTCTCTCTCTCTCAGTTCGGAGTAAACACTGTTTCAAAGACCACAAACTCACAAAAAAGCATTTAGCTGCCGTGCACTCTTCATGTTTAAATGACAGTAGGGGAGGACAGTAGTATAAAACATCACCTTACAGGGAACTGCTAATTCTCCTACCAGAAGGTAGTGCCTTTTGATACAGACAGTGTGTGACAGGGTGGCGTTTGTGTGTGACAGGGTGGTGTTTGTGTGTGACAGGGTGGTGTGTGTGTGTTACAGGGTGGTGTGTGTGTGTGTGTGTGTGACAGGGTGAGCGTTGTGCTGCGTGTCATTAGCATGGTGGTGCTAATTGGATTCCCAGACACCTTGAATACCGCCTCGTAAATACCACAGAATAAGACATTTAGCTGGAGGAGAGAGAGGGAGGCAGTGATGGAGAGAGTGAGAGAAAGAGGTTTTAGCACACCTTTTATTTACACTGAACAAAAATATAAACTCAACATACAACAATTTCAAAGATTTTACTGAGTTACAGTTCATATAAGGAAATCAGTCCATTGAAATAAATTCATTAGGCCCTAATCTATGGATTTCACATGACTGGGAAAACAGATATGCATCTGTTGAAAAAAAAAAATAGGAGCGTGGATCAGAAAATCAGTCAGTATCACCCTTTGCCTCATGCAGCGCGACACATCTCCTTTGCATAGAGTTGATCATGCTGTTGATTGTGGCCTGTGGAATATTGTCCCACTCCTCTTAAATGGCTGTGCGAAGTTGCTGGATATTGGTGGGAACTAGAACACACTGTCGTACACGTCAATCCACAGCATCCCAAACATGCTCAATGGGTGACATGGCCATGGAAGAACTTGGACATTTTCAGCTTCCAGGAATTCTTTACAGATCTTTGCGACATGGGGCCGTGCATTATCATGCTGAAACATGAGGTGATTGCGGCGGATGAATGACACGATAATGTGCCTCAGGATCTCGTCACGGTATCTCTCTATATGACGTTGAAGGTGTCTTATGGTAGAGCAATGAACATTACATTCTCTGGCAACAGCTCTGGTGGACATTCCTGCAGTCAGCATGCCAATTGCACGCTCCCACAAAACTTGAGACATCTGTGCCATTGTGGTGTTTGACAAAACTGCACATTTTAGTGGCCTTTTAGTGTCCCCAGCACAAGGCGCACCTGTGTAATGATCATGCTGTTTAATCTACTTCTTGATATGCCACACCTGTCAGTCAGGTGGAGGGATTATCTTGGCAAAGGAGAAATGCTCACTAACAGGGATGTAAACAAATTTGTGCATAACATTTTAGAGAAATAAGCTTTTTGTGCGTATGGGACATTTCTGGGATCTTTTATTTCAGCTCATGAAACATGATGCGTTTCTATTTTTGTTCAGTGTAGCAAATATGGAGGGAATACAGAGCTCGCAGCATGCATGGAGAGAGCGAGGGAGAGAGAGAGAGCCACAGTAAAAGCCAGTGTGTCCTCCTCTCCTCTGTATTGGTGCCCTTCAGATAAGCAGCGTTAGCATCACATGATGTTAGACAGGTGGATGCTGCTATATTTAGACTGTTTAGTGGGCACTGCAGCTTCACCACGGAGGAGGAAATGGCTTAGGCTAGATTTGCATTAATATCATTTTTGCACATGACAGAAGTCAGTAGCAATGAATAACATTACATTTTTTATTTAATAATAATATCATCCCACAGTAGAGAGAACATTTTATAACGGACAAGCATCTTGGTCACGATTTTTGGAGCTCCACAGACGCTGTGGAGGGGAACAATGGATTCTTATTTACCTCTGAGTAGGCTATCCTTTTTTCCTTCTCTCCCTCTCTCTCACTTTCTCTCTCTCTCTCTGTGCACCAGCCCTGACAGCCTTGAGTATAGACTGGGGAATGGAATGTTATGTAACGCTGAGACCCATCCATGCTCCCCCTAGAACACCAGTGTAAAGCTAGCAGGTTATTAAGATGTCTTCTGCTGATGTGTTTTCCGATCTGCTGCAGAACACAACATTGAGTCAACGCCACACTGCACAGCTCACAATCACATGTTGCTCTGGTATGATAATGTTTGGATGATCTCTCCCCCTCACTCACTCACATGTATCAAATCCTACATGCCATCTCCTGCCGTTGTGCCCTTGAGCAAGGCATTTAATCCCTAAAACCAGCTCCAGCGGTGCAGTAGTGTGGCTGCCCTCTGCTCCAACCTCTGTATGTGTGTCTTTCAGAGGGGCCTGGATGGATAAAGCAGAAGACGCGTTTTAATTAATTTACATTAGACAATAAAATAATCTTCTCTCCCCCAGGTACCCACCGTGGCTGGGCGGCGGTACAGATGCGTCTGCTCCATGAGCTGGTGTACGCGTCCCGTCGTATGGGAAACCCCGGCCTGTCCGTCCGCCACCTCTCCTTTCTGCTCCAGACCATGCTGGACTTCCTCTCAGACCAAGGTCAGCCAACACACAGATACACACACACACACACACACACACACAGATACACACACACACACACACACACACACACACACACACACACACACACACACATACACACACACACAGATACACACACACACACACACACACACACACACACACACACACACACAGAGACACACAGACACAGACATACACATTAGCTCCCCAAGCCTTTAGCGCAAATGACTACCGAAACCCAGACGGTCTCATTCTCTAGTGTCTTTGAGAGGGGACTCTTTCAACAATGTAAATTCGCATCCCTTAATCCCCTAGAGTCGATTTCCACAGCCCCATGGTAATCTAATTAGCATAAAAAATCCCCATAAAAATCTGTCAGTTTAAGAGATAGAGTTATCCGTTTTTTTGCATTGGATGTGTCTCAATCCACCGCATCCGACGATGTCGCACTTCTGCATCTGCGGTGAAAGGTGACAGACTCGTCACCTCCCGAGTGGCGCAGTGGTCTAAGGCACTGCATCGTAGTGCTAGCTGTGCCACTAGAGATCCTGGTTCGAATCCAGGCTCTGTCGTAGCCGGCCGCGACCGGGAAACCCATGGGGCGGCGCACAATTGGCCCAGTGTCGTCCAGGGTAGGGGAGGGAATGGCCGGCAGGGATGTAGCTCAGTTGGCAGAGCATGGCGTTTGCAACGGCAGGGTTGTGGGTTCGATTCCCACGGGGGGCCGGTATGAAAAAAAAAAAATTATGTATGCACTCACTAACTGTAAGTCGCTCTGGAAAAGAGCGTCTGCTAAATGACTAAAATGTAAATGTAAATGTAAGTCGGTACAGCCGATCTGCTACACACTAATATGACCCCTCTGTGGAAATGTGAGACTCTCACGAACATGTACATGTTTTGCTCTAGGACGTCCCCCGGTACCAGTTGAAAATATTTATGGAAGTATACAGTATATGGTGACTGTTTAGTGGCAAAAATAGGGGGTTAAATATATACAGTACCAGTCAAATGTTTGGACACACCTACTCATTCAAGGGTTTTTCTTTATTTTTACTATATTCTACATTGTAGAATAATAGTGAAGACATCAAAACTATGAAATAACACACATGGAATCATGCAGTAACCAAACAAGTGTTAAACAAATGAAAATATATTTTATATTTGAGGTTCTTCAAATAGTCACCCTTGATGACAGCTTTGCCCACTCTTGGCATTCTCTCAACCAGCTTCACCTGGAATGCTTTTCAGACAGTCTTGAAGGAGTTCCCACATATGCTGAGCACTTGTTGGCTGCTTTTCCTTCACTTTGTGGTCCGACTCATCCCAAACCATCTCAATTTGGTTGAGGTCGGGGGATTGTGGAGGCCAGGTCATCTGATGCAGCACTCTATCACTATCCTTCTTGGTAAAATAGCCCTTACACAGCCTGGAGGTGTGTTGGGTCATTGTCCTGTTGAAAAACAAATGATAGTCCCACTAAGCCCAAACCAGATGGGATGGCGTGTCGCTGCAGAATGCTGTGGTAGCCATGCTGGTTAAGTGTGCCTTGAATTCTAAATAAATCACAGACAATGTCACCAGCAAAGCACCCCCACACCATAACACATCCTCCTCCATGCTTTACGGTGGGAAATACACATGCAGAGATGATCCGTTCACCCACACTGCGTCTCACAAAAACATGGCGGTTGGAACCAAAGGACACATTTCCACCGGACTAATGTCCATTGCTCGTGTTTCTTGGCTCAAGCAGGTCTCTTCTTCTTATTGGTGTCCTTTAGTAGTGGTTTCTTTGCAGCAATTAGACCGTGGAGGCCTGATTCACACAGTCTCCTCTGAACAGTTGATGTTGAGATGTGTCTGTTGAACTCTGTAAAGCATTTCTTTGGGCTGCAATTTCTGAGGCTGGTATCTCTAATGAACTTATCCTCTGCAGCAGAGGTAACTCTGGGTCTTCCATTCCTGTGGCGGTCCTCATGAGAGCCAGTTTCACATAGTACTTGATGGTTTTTGCGACTGCACTTGAAGAAACTTTCAAAGTTCTTGAAATGTTCCATATTGACTGACCTTCATGTCTTAAAGTAATGATGGACTGTTGTTTCTCTTTGCTTATTTGAGCTGTTCTTGGACTTGGTCTTTTACGAAATAGGGCTATCTCCCCCCCCCCCCCCCCCCCCCAACTGATTGGCTCAAACTGTTATTCTACAATGTTAAAAATAGTAAAAATAAAAAAAGTAGTAGGTGTGTCCGAACTTTTGACTGGTAGTGTCTATACACACACTACCAGTCAAACGTTTTGACACACCTACTCATTCAAGCGTTTGTCTTTATTTTTAAAAAATTTTACATTGTAGAATATTATATATTTATATTTATATTTATGTCATTTAGCAGACGCTCTTATCCAGAGCGACTTAGTTAGTGAGTGCATACATTCTTTTTTTTATATATACAGTGGGGAGAACAAGTATTTGATACACTGCCGATTTTGCAGGTTTTCCTACTTACAAAGCATGTAGAGGTCTGTAATTTTAATCATTTGTACACTTCAACTGTGAGAGACGGAATCTAAAATAAAAATCCAGAAAATCACATTGTATGATTTTAAGTAATTAATTTGCATTTTATTGCATGACATAAGTATTTGATACATCAGAAAAGCAGAACTTAATATTTGGTACAGAAACCTTTGTTTGCAATTACAGAGATCATACGTTTCCTGTAGATCTTGACCAGGCTTGCACACACTGCAGCAGGGATTTTGGCCCACTCCTCCATACAGACCTTCTCCAGATCCTTCAGGTTTCGGGGCTGTCGCTGGGCAATACGGACTTTCAGCTCCCTCCAAAGATTTTCTATTGGGTTCAGGTCTGGAGACTGGCTAGGCCACTCCAGGACCTTGAGATGCTTCTTACGGAGCCACTCCTTAGTTGCCCTGGCTGTGTGTTTTGGGTCGTTGTCATGCTGGAAGACCCAGCCACGACCCATCTTCAATGTTCTTACTGAGGGAAGGAGGTTGTTGGCCAAGATCTCGCGATACATGGCCCCATCCATCCTCCCCTCAATACGGTGCAGTCGTCCTGTCCCCTTTGCAGAAAAGCATCCCCAAAGAATGATGTTTCCACCTCCATGCTTCACGGTTGGGATGGTGTTCTTGGGGTTGTACTCATCCTTCTTCTTCCTCCAAACACGGCAAGTGGAGTTTAGTCCAAAAAAGCTCTATTTTTGTCTCATCAGACCACATGACCTTCTCCCATTCCTCCTCTGGATCATCCAGATGGTCATTGGCAAACTTCAGACGGGCCTGGACATGCACTGGCTTGATCAGGGGGACCTTGCGTGCGCTGCAGGATTTTAATCCATGACGGCGTAGTGTGTTACTAATGGTTTTCTTTGAGACTGTGGTCCCAGCTCTCTTCAGGTCATTGACCAGGTCCTGCCGTGTAGTTCTGGGCTGATCCCTCACCTTCCTCATGATCATTGATGCCCCACGAGGTGAGATCTTGCATGGAGCCCCAGACCGAGGGTGATTGACCGTCATCTTGAACTTCTTCCATTTTCTAATAATTGCGCCAACAGTTGTTGCCTTCTCACCAAGCTGCTTGCCTATTGTCCTGTAGCCCATCCCAGCCTTGTGCAGGTCTACAATTTTATCCCTGATGTCCTTACACAGCTCTCTGGTCTTGGCCATTGTGGAGAGGTTGGAGTCTGTTTGATTGAGTGTGTGGACAGGTGTCTTTTATATAGGTAACAAGTTCAAACAGGTGCAGTTAATATAGGTAATGAGTGGAGAACAGGAGGGCTTCTTAAAGAAAAACTAACAGGTCTGTGAGAGCCGGAATTCTTACTGGTTGGTAGGTCATCAAATACTTATGTCATGCAATAAAATGCAAATGAATTATTTAAAAATCATACAATGTGATTTTCTGGGTTTTTGTTTTAGATTCCGTGTCTCGCAGTTGAAGTGTACCTATGATAAAAATTACAGACCTCTACATGCTTTGTAAGTAGGAAAACCTGCAAAATCGGCAGTGTATCAAATACTTGTTCTCCCCACTGTGTGTATATATATATATATATATATTTACATTTCATACTGGCCCCCCGTGGGAATCGAACCCACAACCCTGGCGTTGCAAACGCCATGCTCTACCAACTGAGCTACATCCCTGCCGGCCATTCCCTCCCCTACCCTGGACGACGCTGGGCCAATTGTGCGCCGCCCCATGGGTCGAACCAGGATCTCTAGTGGCACAGCTAGCACTGCGATGCAGTGCCTTAGATCACTGCGCCACTCGGGAGCCCGTCTGGTGTTCAACCTTCCCAAGTTCTCTCACGTCACCCCGCTCCTCCGCACACTCCACTGGCTTCCAGTTGAAGCTCGCAATTTGCTTCAAGACCATGGTGCTTGCCTACGGAGCTGTGAGGGGAACGGCACCTCCGTACCTTCAGGCTCTGATCAGTCCCTACACCCAAACGAGGGCATTGCGTTCATCCACCTCTGGCTTGCAGGCCCCCCTACCTCTGCGGAAGCACAGTTCCCGCTCAGCCCAGTCAAAACTGTTTGCTGCTCTGGCACCCCAATGGTGGAACAAGCTCCCTCACGACGCCAGGTCAGCGGAGTCACTCACCACCTTCCGGAGACACTTGAAACCCCACCTCTTTAAGGAATACCAGGGATAGGATAAAGTAATCCTTCTATCCCCCCTTACCCCACCCCCCAAAAAAAAAAAAAAAAAAAAAAAAACATATTGTAAAGTGGTTATCCCACTGGCTATAAGTTGAATGCACCAATTAGTAAGTCGCTCTGGATAAGAGCGTCTGCTAAATGCCGTAAATATTAGTGAAGACATCAAAACTATGAAATAACATATATGGAATCATGTAGTAACCAAAAAAGTGTTATACAAATCAAAATATATTTGAGATTCTTCAAATAGCCACCCAGGGTTTAGACATGTACTGAATAGAAAGGAAACTGAATAAAAATAGTAACTCTTTCAAAAAAGGAAAGAAAATGTCTGACTAGCTCTAGTCTAGGACTAACAGATATTACATAGTCATAGTCAAACGTTTTTGTCCGTACAGTGCCTTGCAAAAGTATTCATCCCCCTTGGCGTTTTTCCTATTTTTTTGCATTACAACCTGTAATTTAAATGGATTTTTATTTGGATTTCATGTAATGGACATACGCAAAATAGTCCAAATTGGGGAAGTGAAATGAAAAACATAACTTGTTTACAAAAATATAATAAATAACGGAAAAGTGGTGCGTGCATATGTATTCACCCCCTTTGCTATGAAGCCCCTAAATAAGATCTGGTGCAACCAATTACCTTCAGAAGTCACATAATTAGTTAGATTGCACACAGGTGGACTTTATTTAAGTGCCACATGATCTCAGTATATATACACCTGTTCTGAAAGGCCCCAGAGTCTGCAACACCACTAAGCAAGGGGCACCACCAAGCAAGCGGCACCATGAAGACCAAGGAGCTGTCCAAACAGGTCAGGGACAAAGTTGTGGAGAAGTACAGATCAGGGTTGGGTTATAAAAAAATATCAGAAACTTTGAACATCCCACGGAGCACCATTAAATCCATTATTTAAAAAATTGAAAGAATATGGCACCATAACAAACCTGCCAAGAGAGGGCCACCCACCAAAACTCACGGACCAGGCAAGGAGGGCATTAATCAGAGATGCAACAAAGAGACCAAAGATAACCCTAAAGGAGCTGCAAAGCTCCACAGCGGAGATTGGAGTATCTGTCCATAGGACCACTTTAAGCCGTACACTCCACAGAGCTGGGCTTTACAGAAGAGTGGCCAGAAAAAAGCCATTGCTTAAAGAAAAAAATAAGCAAACATGTTTGGTGTTTGCCAAAAGCCATGTGGGAGACTCCCCAAACATATGGAAGAAGGTACTCTGGTGAGATGAGACTAAAATTGAGCTTTTTGGGCATCAAGGAAAACGCTATGTCTGGTGCAAACCCAAAACCTCTCATCACCCTGAGAACACCATCCCCACAGTGAAGCATGGTGGTGGCAGCATCATGCTGTGGTGATGTTTTTCATCGGCAGGGAAGGAATGATGGATGGCACTAAATACAGGGAAATCCTTGAGGGAAACCTGTTTCAATCTTCCAGAGATTTGAGACTGGGACGGAGGTTCACCTTCCAGCAGGACAATGACCCTAAGCATACTGCTAAAGCAACACTCGAGGGGTTTAAGGGGAAACATTTAAATGTCTTGGAATGGCCTATCCAATTGAGAATCTGTGGTATGACTTAAAGATTGCTGTACACCAGCGGACCCATCCAAGTTGAAGGAGCTGGAGCAGTTTTGCCTTGAAGAATGGGCAAAAATCGCAGTGGCTAGATGTGCCAAGCTTATAGAGACATACCCCAAGAGACTTGCAGCTGTAATTGCTGCAAAAGGTGGCTCTACAAAGTATTGACTTTGGGGGGGTGAATAGTTATGCACGCTCAAGTTTTCTGTTTTCTTGTCTTATTTCTTGTTTGTTTCACCCCAAAAATATTTTGCATGTTGTGTAAATCAAATGATACAAACCCCCCAAAAATCTATTTTAATTCCAGGTTGTAAGGCAACATAATAGGAAAAATACCAAGGGGGGTGAGTACTTTCGCAAGCCACTGTATTAGTTTAAAATCCTACTTCATTTTTCTCCATTTCATACTACTGATCATCTAAAATCATCCCCTGGCCACAGCCATCCATGCATGTCCTTTAGGAAAGCCATCATTGTGCCTGCGGGTGTAATGGTGTGTGTGATGCTCAACCAAGCCAGTCTCAGCTGGTGGCTGGGTGACTGTGGGCTTCATCTGGACTCAGGAGATGGGTACTCACCCAAGGCGAGGGGGAGGAGTGGGGGGAGGTAGAGCAGATGCCTCACTGACCTCACTATCGAGACCAGTGTAATCCTTTTGGTAGAGGGGGGGAAAAGGGAGAGGGAGGGAGAGAGAGAGTGGAGAAAGCAGATGGAGAGCGAAAAGCAGAGTGCGAATACAGAGAGGGAGAGCAAAGAGAGAGACATTTTAAATGTATTATGATCCCCATTAGCCGACACCAATGGCAACAGCTAATCTTACTGGGGTCCAACACATACCCAAAAATACATTACAGACAAAATACTTTACAATTTACATACATAAAAAAATAGTAACATATAGTGTGTGCATCTGTCACTTACACATACTGTACATGTCAGTACATCCTCACCAGAAGTAGGTCGCATTTGAGAGCGAGAGAGGGAGAGAGCAGAGCGCCAACAGTATGAAATATTCACCAATGTCAGCAGCAGCAGTTAGGGACTGTTGCTACGCTGAGGGAGGCCATGCTCCCATCTACCCAGCATCCTCACTGTTTAAACCTGCTGGAATAACAACAGCTCAGCTACAGCTCAGTGGGCGTCATACACCCACCGTGTGTGTCAGCCGCCGTCACACTCAAACAACAGGCAGTTACAGCCTGTGACGCCTCAAGAGACCGAAAGGTGTGAAGTATGATTGAGAAAAAATGCTTTTCTTGCTATGACATTTTGTGTGTGAGGCTGAGCATAAAAAAGTGACAGAACATATTTCATTGTTATATTTCAGCTAGCATGTGCACTATGATCTCACTCAAGTTGAAGCCCCAGACTCCTAACTCCATGCTTGAGTAACTGTTTTAACAGCTTAAAACCTCTATAGTTCTCAGTGAGTTTCTCAATGGTGGCTTTGGCAGAGACACTCAGTGAAATGGGCCGTGCACAAATCTGTCCCCTCTAAACTGCGGTTGCACGCCTACTCTCCTCGCCCTCGTCTCTCTCTCTCACCCTCCCTCTCGCTTTCTCTCACTCTCCCTCTTCCTCCCTCCTGCTATTCCCTATCACCCCCCTGCTGTTTGTCTGCAGTGTGGTGATGTCACACACGGCGGGGGTTATTGCAGGCCGTCTTCTCCCAGCATGCAGTAGTGGGGTGCGGCCCCCTCGCTGTGTTCGCTGCGTGTCTGGGGAATTATTGTAGAACACACAGCAGCACAGCTCAGCACAGGGGAACAGTGTGACTCTCGGCCCAGCAGCAACAGCCTTTTCATTTAAAGTCACAATCCTGAGTTTGTGTTTCAACCCAATACTACTTGGTTTGGTATAAAGCTGACAGATGAGGATGGGAAACAATATAACCATTCTCAAATATCCCAGATTGTGCCTTTAATCCCCAGATCTGGGGCGTCATTTATCAACCGTGCGTACATTAAAAAAAAAAGTTCTGGTGTAGTGGAGATTCTAGGATTTGCGTGTGCAACAAATTATTGGGATTGATCAAACTGTTGCACACAAAATAAGCATGTTTTAATTGATAAATCAGAGCCATACTATATTTGTGGGCTCGTGAACGAGCGCTACAACCCCGCCTGAAAGACGCCCTTACCTTTTTATGGTAACAGAAATGCCCTCATTTGCTGTATGATTTGGAGATGTTGGAACTGGGCCATGATAGTTTCTAGAAGATATCGCAATGGCAAATTTGATCACATTTCTGTAGAGGTGTGGGCAGAATGTCCTTTTTTTTAGTGGTCTATTTACTTTCGAGCATGGTTGTCTTATTGAATGAGTGATGGATAAATGGTAGCCTAATATTTGTGGGAATGAACCAGTCACGTCAGAAAAGGAGAGACATGCCCTGCAATATGATTAGGATTTAGGACTATATAATAAAAGTAAAATAAACATATTAGACGACATTCTGCTATGCGATCTTCTACCAACGGCAAATTCATCTGTTTTATCATTAGGCCAATGTTTTAATGAGCTTACCATTATTATCATTCCCGTGCATCAAACACCTCCATTTCCCCCAAAAGAACAATAGCCAATTTGCTTGCATAGAGTTGATCATCAACTAGAAGTTGTGCGCACGCATGATTTGAGATTTGTGTGGAGATGCACACACTTTTCCGTCAAGTTCAAAATGTATAATTATCAACCTTTGCGGGAAAACTGGCGCATGTGTGCATCTCTTTTTTTGTGCACGCACCTTGATACATGAGGCCCCTGGTGAGGCCCTGGGGTTTGGGTATGAGAGAGGGGCTGTTTTTCTACACAGGTGCACAACCAAGGAATTTGTTCTGTCCCTCAACATCGTGGTACAGTATGTGACCGATAGTACACGACACAGTATATGACCAAGACAATTCAAGTCTTAGAAGTCAACCCCTGTAAATGAATATCGACTCCAGTTTCTCCTTTAAGCACATTGCTGTCCTCCCGTTTAGTCCTCCCATTTAATGTCACAGCAGAAGCTCCCGGGGAAAGGAAATGCCAGGGCTTTGAATTTCAGGGCCGGCGCTTTCAAAGGTCTGTCTTGAGGTAGTAGTGCCTTTTCAAGTCCCCGTCGGTGACATTAAAAAACATAACTCAAATGTTTTATTTAAGCTGGGCCTTTGTAGAGTGGCAGGGATTGAAGATAACTGCTTAATGTTTCTGGCTTAGGAGAGTGAGGGAAAGGGAGAGAGATGGGTTCAGGAGAAGGTGATCACGCCAAGCTCATTAACGTTACCACTGTGTCACCCTGCCTGGGAGAGGGCGAAGAGAGGTAGAGAGAGTGAGCAATAGGAAGAGAAAGAGGTAGCGTGTCATTTTTCCTCTAGTGACATCACAAAAGCTTCAGGACTGCATGGGATGAAGGGAGGAAGAGATAAGTAAAGCGTGTGGGGGTGAAGGCTGGGAAATGCCAGGGACCTCACGATATAAGTATTCAACCCCATTGCTATGGCAAGCCTAAATAAGTTCAGGAGTAAAAATGTGCTTAATAAGTCACATAATAAGTTGCATTGACTCACTCTGTGTGCAATAATAGTGTTTAACATGATTTTTGTATGATTACAGTTATCTGTAAGGTCCCTCAATCGAGCAGTGAATTTCAAACACAGATTCAACCACACAGACCAGGGAGGTTTTCCAATGGTAGATAAAAAAAAAAGAAGCTGACATTGTATATCCCTTTGAGCATGGTGACGTTATTAATTACACTTTGGATGGTGTATCAATACACCCAGTCACTACAAAGACACAGGCGTCCTTCCGAACTCAGTTGCCGGAGAGGAAGGAAACCGCTCATGGATTTCACCATGAGGCCAAGGGAGACTTTAAATAGTTACAGAGTTTAATGGCTGTGATAGGAGAAAACTGAGGATGGATCAACAACATTGTAGTTACTCCACAATTCTAACCACCTTGACAGAGTGAAAAGAAGTAAGCCTGTACAGAATAAACATATTCCAAAACATGAATCCTGTTTGCAACAAGTTACTAAAGTAATACTGCAAAACATTTGGCAAGTCAATTAACTTTGTCCTGAATACAAAGTGTTATGTTCGGGGCAAATCCAAAACAACACATTACTGAGTATCACTCTCCATATTTTCAAGCATAGTGGTGGCTGCATCATGTTATGGGTATGCTTGTAATCGTTAAGGATTGGGAAGTTTTTCAGGGTAAAAAATAAACGGAATGGAGTTAAGCACAGGCAAAATCCTAGAGGAAAACCTGGTTCAGTCTGCTTTCCACCAGACACTGGGAGATTAATTCACCTTTCAGAGGAAAATAACCTAAAACACAAGGCCAAATCTACACTGGATTTGCTTACCAAGAAGACTGAATGTTCTTGAGTGGCCGGGTTACAGTTTTGATATACTGTAAATCGGCTTGAAAATCTATGGCAAGACTTGAAAGTCCAGGTGTGCAAAGCTCTCATAGACTTACACAGAAAGACTCACAGCTGTAATCACTGCCAAATGTGATTTTAACATGTATTGACTCAAGGGTGTGAATACTTATGTAAATTAGATATTTCTGTATTTAAAATAAATTTGGAAAAATGTCTAAAAACATGTTTTCACTTTGTCATTATGGAGTATTGTGTGCAGATGAGTAAAACAAAGAAGATTTAATCAATTTTGAATTCAGGCTGTAACACAACAAAATGTGGAATTAGTCAAGGGGTATGAATAATTTCTGAAGGCACTGTAGGTGCCGATATGTATTGCGATTCTCATGATTCTATATGTATTGCGATTCGATGTTCCAAACATATTGCTCACCATACAGTATGTCTGTTGCAGAGGGACAAGAGAGAGCCGTGAGAAAACTACACAATATATACAAAAGTATGTGGACATCCCTTCAGATTAGTGGACTCTGCTATTTCAGCCACACCCTTTGCTGACAGGTGTATAAAATCGAGCACACAGCCATGCAATCTCCATAGACAAACATTGGCAGTAGAATTACCTTACTGAAGAGCTCATTGACTTTCAACATGGCACAGTCATAGGATGCCACCTTTCCAATAAGTCAGTTTGTCAAATTTCTGCCCTGCTAGTGCTGCCCCGGTCAACTGTAAGTGCTGTTATTGTGAAGTGCAAACGTCTAGGAGCAACAACGGCTCAGCCACGAAGTGGCATGCCATACAAGCTCACAGAACGGAACCCTGAGTGCTGAAGCGCGTAGCGTGTAAAAATCGTCTGTCCTCGGTTGCAACACTCACTACCAAGTTCCAAACTGCCTCAGGAAGCAATGTCAGCACAAGAACTGTTCGTTGGGAGCTTCATAAAATAGGTTTCCATGGCCGAGCAGCCACACACAAGCATAAGGTCATCATGCGCAATGCCAAGCGTCGGCTGGAGTGGAGTAAAGCTCGCTGCCATTGAACTCCGGAGCAGTGGAAATGCGTTCTCTGGAGTGATGAATCACTCTTCACCATCTGGCAGTCCGACGGACGAGTCTGAGTTCAGCGGATGCCAAGAGAACGCTACCTGCCCCAATGCATAGTGCCAACTGTAAAGTTTGGTGGAGGAGGAATAATGGTCTGGGGCTGTTTTTCGTGGTGCAGGCTAGGCCCCTTAGTTCCAGTGAAGGGAAATCTTAACGCTACAGCATGCAATGACATTCTAGACGATTCTGTGCTTCCGACTTTGTGGCTTCAGTTTGGGGAAGGCCCTTTCCTGTTTCAGCATGACAATGCCCCCGTGTACAAAGCGAGGTCCATACACAAATGGTTTGTCGAGATCGGTGTGGAAGAACGTGACTGGCCTGCACAGAGCCCTGACCTCAACCCCATCAAACACCTTTGGGATGAATTGGAACGACTGCGAGCCAGGCCTAATCGCCCAACATCAGTGCCCGACCTCACTAATGCTCTTGTGGGTAAATGGAAGCAAGTCCCCGCAGCAATGTTCCAACATCTGGTGAAAAGCCTTCCCAGAAGAGTGGAGGCTGTTATAGCAGCAAAGTGGGGGACCAACTCCATATTAAACCCCTGATTTTGGAATGAGATGTTTGACGAGCAGGTGTCCACATACTTTTGGTCATGTAGTGTAGTTCTGATCAGTCATGGGAATTAAAGTGCTGAAAACAAATTGGCTCCCTATTTAAAGCCTCTTAGATGTAAGGTCCCGTGTTTTGGGGACCTGCGTTGTTCTGGGACCGATTCCAACCGAAATGGTCACTTATAAATCGATAGATCTACGGTGTCAATAGAAATGGCTTGCGCTGATCGATAGCCCTGGTTCCCACGGACACAGTAGTATTCTTTTCTCAGCCTGTGTGACGTAGGATGTGAAATCTGAAACCACTTGAAGCTCGGATGTCCCTCCTACCATTCATTCACTCTTCTGACTGTCCAACTCATGGCTGAACCCTACATCACAGACAAAGCATATGCCTGCATTCAGAGCACCAGGATAGAGTGGTTTCATCACGATAGCACTTTCAGAGATCGAATTATAGCCATTAATCTAAAATAATTCATAGATTTTAAACAAAAAACACTTTCTGTTTGTCATAGACGGACAAGATTAATATGAGATGAATGGTGTGTTCCTAACGAGTTCAGGAAGCCAAGCTAGAGCTCTGTGAGACTTCCACAGCGATGAGGGCAGAAGTTTTGATCGAGAGACCACATTTTCTCTAACACTAAACGTACAAATATGTATTTTACGGTTATAAGGAAGGTGAAAGCTTAGTCGTTTTATAATTAGAATATGCTATATTTAGAAAGCATAAGTCATTTCAAGCCTTATTCATACAGTTTTGATGAACATATTTTTATCATATTTGTGCTGTGTACTTGAGCTTGTGTCCTCAAAGGTGACTACACCTCAGCAATGTAACTATTTTTACCAGAAAGGTGAGATTTTAACCTTTGAGTATTACTAGTTATTCTTTACGGCCCTCTCATTATAAATAATTACTTTTGGGGATTACATAGATGACTTTTTCGATTACATTTAGTTAAATTTAACTGGTTAAAAAGAAGATGGAGAACAAGCTATGAAGGAAATAAACTGGAGTTATGGCGCAGGTACAGACATCCAACTAGCGCAAAAATAATATTGTGATATTGTCAAAACAATACGACACAATATATTGTCAAAAATAATACGACACAATATATTGTCATAAATAATATCCCGATATGTAACTGTATCGATGTTTTTCCCCCATCGCTAGTGGGGGTAGTTCAACTGTATCAGGGACAGGAGGTTACAATCAATATTTTACTAGTTGGCTGTGTTGTGGCTTGGAAACTAGGCTTCAGATCAGAAGCTTGCAGGCTCTTATCTATATTGAGACCTATTTATTTTTTTTGAAACAGTTGTTAAAATGAATAGCGTTAGCTGAAGTTTATCGTGGCAGAAATGGCAATTAAAGACTACTTGAGCCTAATCTGAAGCTTATCGTTTCATCGCAGCAGAACTAGCCTAACAGTAGTCCATGCTGTGTTTCTATATCTGGTTTACTAGTCCCAGATAATTGATTGTACTTTCTCCTGAATCATCAGAGGTGAACATTTAAAAATGGCCACTTCACAAGTCATTTTACCCTTTTGCTGTCTCCTCTCTCAATTATTTATTCAGGTATTCCCCAATGTTCACTCGTACATGCTTCATTTAGGATATCCGTGACCGTGATCTGAGAATGACAGCGTCAATGTATCCCAAAAATAGTAGTATCTACAGTATTAATATCTCCAGGTATTAGTTTGGTCTCTCTTGCAGTCCCACTGTAATTAGCACATCCATATCGCCACGTGGAGGGGTGAGAGTTAGGGCAACTCAAACCTTTCGTTTTGAGTCTCCTATTGTAGAGACTGCGATATTATGTCTTATTGAAACATTGCTGGATGATTGCGCCATGCACGTAGTACTCGGTGGATTCTCCATTCAGCAGCAGGATCGGACGGCGGCGGCTTCGGGAAAATATGTGTTTTTCATAAATAACAATTGGTGTGCTGCTTCAAGTGTGAAGGAAATCTCAAGCTTTTGCTCACCTTACATAGAATACCTCATGGTAAGCTGCAGACCCTTTTATCTACAAAGAGAGTTCTCATCCGTAATTATTACAGATGTCTACATTCTTCCAGAAGCTATCACCACTCTGGCACTCAACGAACTGTATAGGGCAATAAACAAACAAGAAACCGCTCTACCAGAGGCAGAGTTTCTAGTGGGCGGAGACTTTAACGCGGGGAGACTTAAAACCGTCATACCTTACTTCTACCAACACGTCTCCTGCGCCACTAGGGGCGGTAGAACACTAGACCACTTTTATTCTACCCACAGAAAAGCATACAAGATCCTCCCTTCAGCAATCTGACCATGACTCCATTCTCCTGCTTCCTGTTTACAAACAAAAGCTCAAACAGGAAGTACCAGTGATGCGCTCAATATGAAAGTGGTCGGACGAAGCAGACACAAGGCTACAAGACTGTTTTGCTAGTACAGACTGGGATATGTTCCGGGATTCATCTGATAACTGTAAGGAGTTTAAAACAACAGTCACAGGCTTCATCAATAAGTGCATAGACAATGTCGTCTCCACAGTGACTATAAGAACGAATCCATACCAGAGCTACCGCTTACAATGAACGGGACACGGACATGGACACATACAAGAAATCCCTCTAAGACCTCTGACGAGACATCAAACATGCAAAAGACAATATAGGAGGAAGGTGGAATCTTATTACACCAGCTACTACCCTCGTCGTATGTGGCGGGGATTGCAGACGATAACGGATTACTAAGGGAAACCCAGTCATGAGTTGCCCAGCGATGCAGAACTGCCAAACAAGCTAAATGCCTTTTATGCTCACTTTGAGGAATATAACACTGTGTGTGGCCGAAAATGTTTAAGTTAACAACCACAAGGCGGAATACCAGGGCGCGTTCTCAGAGCATGCGCAGACCAGCTGGCAGTGTGTGTCTTCACAGACATATTCAATCTCTCCTTGTCCCAGTCTGTAATCCCAACATGTTTCAAGCTGACCACCATTGTCCCTGTTCCCAAGAGCTCCAAGGTAACCTGCCTAAATGTCTATCACCCTGTAGAACTCACATATGTAATTATGAAATGCTTTGAAAGGCTGGTCATGACACACATCAACACCATCATCCCAGACACCCTAGACCCACTCCAATTCGCATACCGCCCCAACAGATCCACAGATGACGCAGTCTCAGTTGCACTTCACATTGACCTCCCTCACCTGGACAAGAGGGGAAATAACTGTGAGAGTTCAACACCATAGTCCCCTCCAAGCTCATCACCAAGCTAGGGACCCTGGGACTGAACCCCTCCCTCTGCAACTGGATCCTGGACTTCCTGACGGACCGGCCCCAGTTGGTGAGGGTAGGCAACAACACATCCGCCACGCTGACCCTCAACACGGGGGCCCCTCAGGGGTGTGTGCTCAGTCTCTCCTGTACTCCCTGTTCTCCCACGACTGTGTGGCCACGCAAGACTCACACACCGCATGACTCACACACCATCATCAAGTTTGCTGATAACATGATGGTGGTAGGCCTGATCACCGACGGCGATGAGCCTGCCTACAGGGAGGAGGTCAGAGACTTAGCAGTGTGGTGCCAGGACAACAACCTCTCCGTCAACGTCAGTAAGACCAAGGAGCTGATTGTGGACTATAGGAGAAAAAGGGGACAGCACGCCCCCATCCACATTGACAGGGCTGTTGTGGAGCGGGTCGAGAGCTTCAAGTTCTTGTCGTCCACATCACTAAGGACTTAACATGGCCCACACACACCCGCACAGTCGTTAAGAGGGCACGGCAGCATCTCTTCTCGCTCAGGAGGCTGAAAAGATTTGGCATGGGCCCTCAGATCCTCAAAAAGTTATACAGCTGCACCATCAAGAGCATCTTGACTGGCTGCATCACCGCTTGATGTGGCAATTGCACCGCCCTTGACTGCAAAGCGCTACAGTGGGTGGTGTGGACAGCCCAGTACATCACTGGGGACAAGCTCCCTGTCACAATATCAAGCGGTGTCAGAGGAAGGCCTGAAAAATTGCCAAAGACTCCTGCCACCCAAGCCACAGACTATTCACTCTGCTACAGTCCGTCAAACAGTACCGGAGCATCGACTCTCGGACCAACAGGCTCCGAGGCAGCTTCTACCCCCAAGCCATAAGACTGCTAAATCGCCAGAGTGCTAAATAGTCAATTAATTAGCTGCACTGACTCTACACACACTCACTAGACTCACTAGACTCTACACACACTGCTGCTACTCTGTTCTTTATTTTACTCGTATTATTATCTATCCGGATGCCTAGTCACTTTACCCTGCCTTCATGTACATATCTCCCTCAAGTACCTTGTACCTCTGCACATTGATCTGGTACTGACTGATACTCCCTGTATATAGCTCCATTCTTGTGCATTTTATTTTATTCCTCTTGTGTTAGTTCATCTTTTATTTATCGTTGGGAAAGGTTCGTAAGCAAGCATTTCACTCTAAAGTCTATACCAGTTGTATTCGGTGTATGTGATGAATAAAATTAGATTGTATTTGAACCCAGTGTGGTTTGGAGGCGGTTTAATCAGTTTAGGAGTTGGGAATCTTAGAAATATAATGACTAGAATGGGTATAGCCCCTCAGACCAATAGAAATCCCGTTCTAGTAATTCTATGTCTATGAATAGTACACAACAGTAACTTACAGTATACAAGTTCCTGGCTAGCTTTAGTGTGAACTTGAAGTAAACATCAACATTATGAACTGAACATGTTGATGGAGTTGCTTGAAAGCCCCAGGCACTCAGACTCCCTCCTGATTTCCGTAGATACTCAGTCACATAAGATGCCCACTCACTCATTCCATCTCAGTACACTGAAGTAAACATACATATTTTCTAAGTCTGTTGTCAGTTTTTGCGAGTTTCCCACCCACATTCAATTTTCTAGTGTAGTAGTCTGGTTAACTGTGTTTAAGATGAGGCTAGGTTTTTCGCCTGCAATATGCATGCAGTAATGTCATTGCAGTTGACTTCTCCTTGTAAACACCCCTGCACCCAAAACAATAAATAAATCAAATTTCCGTAATTAATTTGACATTCATTTCAGTTTGTATTCTGTCAGCACTTCCATCACATCCAACACGGCGGGGGCAGTCCATCATCTTCAGTGACAGTTGGCAGAATCTCCCTCTATGTTTTATTGAGACTGCTACTACTGTCAGGATGTATTTGAAGTCCCAGTCTCTCTTCTCTCTCTCCCACTAGAGTTTCAGTCAGTTAAGAGGCCTCTCAAAGAATGTTAAAACATTTCAAAGTCATCACCAGGGGTCCTCTCTACAGTACCACACCATCGGCTACTGATCTGCTGCTGCTTTGGATGGAAATGTAGGGGTTTGTCTTCAAAATGAGCGGAGGAACTGAGAAATGATAGTCATATCGGTGTCATTTAGGGACATGTTTAAAGTTTAAGAAAGTTGAACCTGTTACGTAAGAATGAATGAAGAATTTATGAGTCTTGAATCTGTTTTGCCTTGTTTTCCTTGATGAGTTGATTTATGTGGACTTGTACTAAATAATATATTAACTTAAGTTTTAAATACTTCTCTATTCATCACTTTAGGCCTAATTAAAGTTATGTGTTCTGTGTTTTTGGTGAAAAGACAAAAGGAAAACAATGTTTTATCTTTACGTCTCTGGGAAGATGAGTTGTTACCTCTGTTATGGAGTCTGTGTCACTGAGCCCAGTAAATGCCAGAATGTATTGATTCTCCTCACTACCTGTGCAGTGCAGTGGTGCATTACTCAATGTGAGCAGTAAAGTGGAGGAGGCAGCGTTTACTTTATTTATAGCCTTGCCAGTTGTCGGCTCTGTTTCTGGCCTCCACCCAGTCGGGGGGTTGATAATGTATGGTCTGCAGGTTAGATGGAAAAATACATATTACACTGTAGTTTTTATCTGTCTGACTGCATTTATTAATATGTATTTAGATTTTGGAGAGGCAAATCATGTGATCAGGCTATTTAATTGATGTGGGCCTATTTTAAATCTGTGAACTCCGATTATTTAGTTTTTGCTCTCAAGTCTTCCAAAGCTTATGCTTATTTATTTAATTGCTTATTTCTCTGCTGACTGATGGACTGACATACTAATTGATGGCAAACGTTTAATTTCCAGTAATGTTTACTTGTTTAGTCACATTCTGCTCTCAAAACTCTTCAAGCGAAAGTGAGTTGAATCGATTCCCCACAGGAATTGAACTGGAGTAGAAAAGCAGCTATATTTTGGGTTGGGGGGGGGGGGTCGCAGATAGAAAGCAGAACTGGGAGAGAGCGGGAGAGAGAGGGGGAGAGAGCGGGAGAGAGAGGGGGAGAGAGGGAGGTTTGTGGAATGCTGCAGTGAGCTCTTCAAAGGTAGTGTTTACCTCACATCATCCCAAAATGAGAATCGATACAGAGTTTTTGTCCTTCACTGTCTGTCCTTCAACTCTCCATGTTTCTACTGTTAGACTATGTTACCTGGGCTTCCAAATACAATTGACTCCATGCAGGTTTAGGAATAATTTTAAGTTGCTCATGACCGGCAGGGAGAGCGGTAGACAGCCAGACAGGTAAACGGGGGACCGCTGTGGTCGAAATGTACTACCAGCAACAATACTCAAAGCCTTACATAAGTCAATTTCTACCTCCAGGCTGTTTTATATGCTGCATGCAGCATTTCTCTGCTTGTTCAACCATTATCGTTAAGACACTTCCCAACACTGCAAACACACAACACTGAATGTGACTCGACTTATAATGAACAGAAGGCTTTAACATCCCTTTTAGACCTTAATTTGCTTTGTAAAAACAGGTTGAAACAGGTTTTCAATAATGGCAGTCTGACTCTGAGATTGTATCAAGGTGATGTTCTGTTTCCTGACACTGCTCTGCTCTTCAGTCTATCAGATTTACTCTCCTCAAAGACCTATGTCTAAAGGACATGTCTGCCTGGATCTGGACCGCAGTATGTTCTGTCAATCTGTCTGTGCTGCTCTGTTGCTCAGGCTCATCATTTTGTGGCTGTCAGTGGGAAACTGAGAAGTAGCCTATCCAGGAGCTTGGTTGGAGTGTATATATGTACAGTGAGGGGAAAAAAGTATTTGATCCCCTGCTGATTTTGTACGTTTGCCCACTGACAAAGACATGATCAGTCTATAATTTTAATGGTAGGTTTATTTGAACAGTGAGAGACAGAATAACAACAAAAAAATCCAGAAAAACGCATGTCAAAAATGTTATGAATTGATTTGCATTTTAATGAAGGAAATAAGTATTTGACCCCTCTGCAAAACATGACTTAGTACTTGGTGGCAAAACCCTTGTTGGTAATCACAGAGGTCAGACGTTTCTTGTAGTTGGCCACCAGGTTTGCACACATCTCAGGAGGGATTTTGTCCCACTCATCTTTGCAGATCTTCTCCAAGTCATTAAGGTTTCGAGGCTGACGTTTGGCAACTCAAACCTTCAGCTCCCTCCACAGATTTTCTATGGGATTAAGGTCTGGAGACTGGCTAGGCCACTCCAGGACCTTAATATGCTTCTTCTTGAGCCACTCCTTTGTTGCCTTGGCTGTGTGTTTTGGGTCATTGTCATGCTGGAATACCCATTTTCAATGCCCTGGCTGAGGGAAGGAGGTTCTCACCCAAGATTTGACGGTACATGGCCCCGTCCATCGTCCCTTTGATGCGGTGAAGTTGTCCTGTCCCATTTGCAGAAACACACCCCCAAAGCATAATGTTTCCACCTCCATGTTTGACGGTGGGGATGGTGTTCTTGGGGTCATAGGCAGCATTCCTCCTCCTCCAAACACGGCGAGTTGAGTTGATGCCAAAGAGCTTGATTTTGGTCTCATCTGACCACAACACTTTCACCCAGTTCTCCTCTGAATCATTCAGATGTTCATTGGCAAACTTCAGACGGGCCTGTATATGTGCTTTCTTGAGCAGGGGGACCTTGCCGGCGCTGCAGGATTTCAGTCCTTCACGGCGTAGTGTGTTACCGATTGTTTTCTTGGGGACTATGGTCCCAGCTGCCTTGAGATCATTGACAAGATCCTCCCGTGTAGTTCTGGGCTGATTCCTCACCATTCTCATGATCATTGCAACTCCACGAGGTGAGATCTTGCATGGAGCCCCAGGCCGAGGGAGATTGACAGGTCTTTTGTGTTTCTTCCATTTGCGAATAATTGTATCAACTGTTGCCACCTTCTCACCAAACTGCTTGCCGATGGTTTTGTAGCCCCTTCCAGCCTTGTGTAGGTCTACAATCTTGTCCCTGACATCCTTGGAGAGCTCTTTGGTCTTGGCCATGGTGGAGAGTTTGTAATCTGATTGATTGATTGCTTCTGTGAGGAGGTGTCTTTTATACAGGTAACAAGCTGAGATTAGGAGCACTCCCTTTAAGAGTGTGCTCCTAATCACAGCTCATTACCTGTATAAAAGACACCTGGGAGCCAGACATCTTTCTGATTGAGAGGGGTTCAAATACTTATTTCCCTCATTAAAATGCAAATCAATTTATAACATTTTTGACATGCGTTTTTCTGGATTTTGTTGTTGTTATTCTGTCTCTCACTGTTCAAATAAACCTACCATAAAAATTATAGACTGATAATTTCTTTGTCAGTGGGATCAAATACTTTTTTCCCTCACTGTATATATCTCTGTCTCTCTTAGCCCACCCCTGTGGTGTGAGGCCCAGCCAGCAGAGTAACTCATAGAGACATGTTTGTATGCGACTAAAGCAGCGAGGCTAAGAGTGATGATACAGCACGGCCGTAAACATTTTTATTGTTCCAGCTACTGTCTTAAAACCTGAAGGATGGCGAAGGAGGGACAGGGCTGGAGAGAGGGCTGGGCTGGAGAGAGGGCTGGGCTGGAGAGAGGGCTGGGCTGGAGAGAGGGCTGGGCTGGAGAGAGGACAGGGCTGGAGAGAGGACAGGGCTGGAGAGAGGACAGGGCTGGAGAGAGGGCTGGGCTGGAGAGAGGGCTGGGCTGGAGAGAGGGCTGGGCTGGAGAGAGGGCTGGGCTGGAGCTGGGTTATTTGTGTTATTATCCTCAATTAAATGTATAGGGCCATGTAATCTGCTTAGACTTTAGCACTAGTTATAGCAAGAGATCACTGGTCACTTCAAATAGTGAGGAAAGACTAAGTGTGCCACATAATGTGATTTACACACGATGGCTTACACTGTAAAAGCACCAGGGCTGTCCCCGACAAACAAACAAAAATCTTGGTCGATCGAGAGTCGAATATACACCCATCGTATGCGTTTTAATCAAATCAACTATATGCACTGAGCTTGTCTGATGCTTTTAAGCGCAGTTTGATAAAATAATTAAGATACACAAATGACAAGAGGGAGTTCGACCGTGATTGATTTGATTGTGCTCAGACTTGCTGCGCTGTGTTAAAAAAAATATGACAGCGAGTGACTATGTGACTAGCACCCGTTGACGCTCTCTCCTCCATGCTGCAGTGACCACTGCAGAACTTCAGCATTGTTTATCACGCTGTCCATGTTGCTGAACCTGCAACATAATTAAAGCCATTTCTGACTGAAAAGTTCTGTTACCGAAATCCCTCATTTGTTTAGGAAAAACATTCCCTATTCCCTCAACCCTTACTCTCTTTACGTGACACATGTATGCATTGCATGCACGTGACCAATAGGGCCTGACCTATAGCATATCATAATCACATCAATAAATTGGTTGTATCAAACTCTGAACACATATGACACAAATGGATGCAGAGGATGTGACAAATAAACTCGAAATGGGGGAATGTTTACTCGTTGCTCAGGAGGTAAAGGGGAAGTCGGATGTGCAGAACAAATTTGAATAGTTGTGGAAAATACTAGAAATCAAGAAAAAGAAGGTAAGGAGTAAGCGCTGCGTCATATTATGTGTGCCAAACAGGTGCTGTTAGATTACAATATCATTTTTCTGACCATTTGGAACAATGTAAACAACACTAAAATTATAAGCGTACCAGAGAGTCTGTTGTAACGTTTTTTTTTCTTTTTTCTGTAAAGCCTTTATTACAGCAAAGACTAAAAACATTCACATTCATTCGTGAATGCAATTTCCAAAAAGGTGCGGTTTTATTTATTGTTTATGCTAATTATTCAAGGGTCGTTTTATTTGATTTTAAAACGAAAATGCTTGGTTGCATTTCAAATCATGAATGACTCATATGCTGTGTGATTACAGGAACGAATGAATGATTGATTGATTGATTGATTGATTGATAGAGTAGCCTATATAAGTATTGAAATATAGGCTTAAGTAAGTTATGGTATTAAGACTAAACAGGATGTGCTCTTTGGCCTACAGCTCGATGGTGGTTATCCAAGGCTGCTATACTAAGCCTACTAATGATAATGTCATTACTTATTATTATAATGATGATCATAATAGTAAAAATAACAATAAAAGGAGGGTTATTATAAATAAAAAAATTCGGACAATTTGGAAGAGTGTAAACAACACTAAATAAATTTAAGATGGTCCTCTGTAGCTCAGCTGGTAGAGCACGGCGCTTGTAACGCCAAGGTAGTGGGTTCGATCCCCGGGACCACCCATACACAAAAATGTATGCACGCATGACTGTAAGTCGCTTTGGATAAAAGCGTCTGCTAAATGGCATATTATTATTATTTATTATTATAAGTAATACCAGAGAGGCTGTTTTAACGTGTAAAGCCTTTATTACAGCATAGCAAAGATTTAAAAACAGCCGAATTTGTGAAATTGTTTATCCGACATGTTGTGGTTGCTGAGGCTTGGTACTCACGGAATCAATAGGCTATTAAACAAACACTCAAACAGAAGCAGGATCTGTCTTATTTCCGTAATTATATATATGGATGATTTATAGAGTCAGGTACATTGATTATAGACCTGATTAAGTTGGCGTTTCCGCTCTCCTCACTTTTCTTAAACAATTAAGGCAAGTGCTGTTTTCTCTTCTCCTAACTCCGCTGCTGCCTCTGCCGCATTGTTCTCAACACCATTATGCTGGTTAACTTTGCTATTATGCACATACTGTAGCAACATGGTCTAGGAAAAGGCACCAATTCAACAGCGCACTGATGTTTCAGGACAGCGACCGCTATCCAACGCGGGAGAAAGCACATTTGTTATAAAATAATATTATTTTGTATTAGTGTTGCACCATTGTTCCTACGTAATATAACTATATACAATTTCAGTAGCACATGTCTTAGTGATGGACTGTGCCATCCCCACGGCTTCCACAATGGATCAGTCCACTCAGACAGGCGCAAATCAGACAGGTGTCTTATACACCATGAAATATTTTGGTTTTGCTACTGCTCGACTAAAATCTTGGTCGACCAAACAATCGACCAGTCGACTAAAGGGGGTCAGCCCTAAAAAGCACTCTCTTGTCTTTGTAGAAATTGTTTTTCCTGGTGACTTGAAATGGTCAGGCTGGCCATCAATAATGTGCTCTCCATTTCTAACCCTCGTCTCTTCCTCCCCTGGTCCACAGAGAAGAAGGAGGTGACTCAGAGTCTGGAGAACTACACGTCTAAATGTCCAGGAGGAATGGAGGTTCTCACCCTGCCTGATGGACTCAAACTGCCCCCTGTACCCTTCACCAAGCTACCCATAATCAGGTACGTCAGTCAATCAATCATATTTATAAAGCTCTTTTTCATCAACTGTTGTTAGGCAAGTCAGTCAAACGCTGTGAGTGCTCTGGGTCGTGATCATTAGGCACAAAATGGAAGAAAACGCTTTGAAACGGAGAGAAATGGGGGCGTACGATCTGACCTTGTCCAATAAGAAACGCTAGTTTTCCATTGCAAAATGCTTTGCTGCGGTGTGCCCTAATGAACACAACCCTGCTGTCTGAACTCGTATTCTGATTGATCTAATCAATGTACCAATGAGCTCGTCATAGTTACGACACTGTTCTAACATCGTGTAACTGCTACTCTGAGTGGCGTGATTAATCAATAGACAAAATGTCCTCCCTCTCAACAATGTCAGGTATTTGTGACGGTGGTGTAATGATTGAAATGTAGCTGTTGTCCTCCCTCCTCCCCCCCTGGCCCAGAACACAGAGTTATAGCTGTTTGAGATCTAAGTGCACATTTTACATGACACTGATTTACAGAAGCATCTACTTGTAAATGTATTTATGGTGAAATATGACTTGTTTATGTTTCAGTAAAAGTCAGTCATATAAACAGAAATGAACACCACTGTTAAATAGGCCTGGCTTGGCTAGTCTGGGGCTCTTTTAAATATTAGGCCTGGCTTGGCTAGTCTGGGGGCTGTTTTTGCAACACCATGTTTAGTGGTCCATGCTTGGCTGTTGAAAAGAGCTGAAGCTTTGTGCTTTTTGGTCGAAGGAGTTGGTCAATTGTTTCTGTTTGAGTTGGCCATTTTTTATTGATACATTCTGAGTGAATTTCTTTTATTTAGCCAGGTTAGTTATTGAGAAGAAAATAGTATTGTGCACTTTTAAAAGGCAGCTTAGTGTTTAGGTTACAGTACGTTCACTCAAAACACCACTCAGAATGCTGTCTATCTTTTATATGAACTTTTTCTCCCTGTTTTCTATCTTCTCCGTATCCATCTCCCCCTCTTTCTGTGGTGGCAGTGCCATTAGTAGGGCCAGGAGAGATGGAGGACAATCTGTACAGTTCATGTGTGAGTGTGGAGATAGGTGAATGTCTGGCTACTCAGAGAGGTGATAAGTGCTGTGTCCACTAGCTCCAATTCACACCTCCAGAATGCTTTGCTCATTAAATGGCCTGGGCTAAGAATCTCAGGATGAAATTCACCAATTCTACTGGATTTATGTTCTGCTGCCATGTGATTGGCAGAGGTGTGTGTGTGTGTGTGTGTGTGTGTGTGTGTGATTGGCTCAGGTCACCATGCCAAAAGCCACCTCATTTTCTCTCTCAGGACCTTTAATGGAGATGGCTGTTGAGATAAAAGAAACTATTTATCTTTCTCTCTGCCTCCTTCGCTCCTTCGCCATCTCCCGTCCCTTGACAAACGTCTTGACAAACGATCTGGCCTTAATGGCCACATGTACTCTTAAATCTCCACCCCGGCACAGCCAGAAGAGGACTGGCCACCCCATCAGATCCTGGTTTCTCTCTAGGTTTTCTTACCCACCCCGGCACAGCCAGAAGAGGACTGGCCACCCCTCAGATCCTGGTTTCTCTCTAGGTTTTCTTACCCACCCCGGCACAGCCAGAAGAGGACTGGCCACCCCTCAGATCCTGGTTTCTCTCTAGGTTTTCTTACCCACCCCGGCACAGCCAGAAGAGGACTGGCCACCCCTCAGATCCTGGTTTCTCTCTAGGTTTTCTTACCCACCCCGGCACAGCCAGAAGAGGACTGGCCACCCCTCAGATCCTGGTTTCTCTCTAGGTTTTCTTACTAGGTCCCTGCCTTTTAGGGAGTTTTTCCTAGCCACTGTGCTTCTGCATCTGCATTGCTTGTTCTTTAGGGTTTTAGGCTGGGTATCTGTAAAGCACTTTGTGACAACTGCTGATGTAAGAAGGTTCTTTATAAAACAAATTTGATTGATTAATTGGTTCTCCCCTCCTACAGATCTGTGAAGCTGCTGGACCTGCCCATCAGCCTGCGCCCCCACAAACAGAAAGGCCTTCTGGGAAACAACATGTCCACTAAGAGTCCCTTCATCTACTCTCCCATCATTATGCACAACAGAGGAGAGGAGCGCAACAAGAAGATAGGTGGGCACCACACACACACACACCTTCTGAAGTTGCCGTGTCGAAGTAAAACAGTTTTAGGCCTACTAATATTTTCATTGTAAAACGTCTATAAATAACATGATGGAGTAAATTAATCTTCTATACATGCTTGACTAATTCCATAATTAAACCAGGAGCTCCTTGCGTTTCTCTCTGCTCTCTCTCTCTCTCTCTCTGCTCTCTCTCTCTCTCTGCTCTCTCTCTCTCTCTCTGCTCTCTCTCTGCTCTCTCTCTCTCTCTCTGCTCTCTCTGCTCTCTCTCTGCTCTCTCTGCTCTCTCTCTCTCTGCTCCTCTCTCTCTCTGCTCTCTCTCTGCTCTCTCTCTCCTCTCTCTCTCTGCTCTCTCTCCTCTCTCTCTGCTCTCTCTCTCTCTCTCTCTGCTCTCTCTCTCTCTCTCTGCTCTCTCTCTCTCTTGGCTCTCTCTCTCTGCTCTCTCTGCTCTCTCTCTGCTCTCTCTGCTCTCTGCTCTCTCTGCTCTCTTTGTTCCTGAACATTCACTTGTTAATTGTTTCTGGATCTTAAAAACTCCTCCAGTTTTGGCAGACATTCTCATGATTGTGACAGATGCTGAGTTCTACTCTGGCTTCTCATAGAGTCCAAGGAGTGTGAACTCTCTCCCTGCTACAGTGCTAAATTAGATCAGATGGACTCAACACAATGGCTGCTGTTATAAGTGTTATTTAATTTTTTCAATATGACTGAAATCCATTCCATCTTTCTCTATTCACTGTTTGTTCATTGTAGTCTCCCTTTGAGTATAGCTGTGTCCTGTCTTAGTGTGATGTCATCTGTGCTCAGATACTGTGCTGGAGTCTGAAGCCTCATCTTTTAGGTTCAATAATTTAGCAGTCCTTCCTTATTACTTTCCTTACAGCTTGTTCTTTCGTCATGTGGCCTATATTTTTTTACTAATCTATTTTTTACTTAACACTTTTTATTTTCTTAAAAATTGCATTGTTGGTGAAGGGCTTGTAAGTAAGCATTTCACTGTAATGTCTACACCTGTTGTATTCAGCGCATGTGGCAAACACAATTTGATTTGATTTGACACACACAAACATAGGCATATTTGTGCATAAAACATCAGGGACACTGAGTTGTAGGATAGCGTTGTCTCCTCCCACGCCTGATTTATCAGTGTAATATCTCCGCTCCCAGACTAACAGGATTGACAGTCACGTCTTCACCGGAGAACAAACAAGTCGAGAGGGAAAAATAACAACAAATACATTTAAGTATCTATTTGATGGGTAAAGTGCTTTCAGTGTTATCTGTAATTCATTGGTTTTATTTCATTGTGGCTTCCTGCCTGTCTACTCCTCTCCCTTCAGGCTCTGTGTGTGTGTTTCATCGTGCCCACTTTCCTGCCCTTGGAAACAAGGAGTATTATCTTAACAGGCCCCCAATTTTGAATTAATATGCTTCTGTAATGAATTCCCAAACAAAGGGGCCAAAGGAACGTAACACATCCCAAGGCTATGATATGAGTCACTCCTCCTACCCTGACAGGAAATCATTGCGGGATGAGAAACTACTTATTTTTGCATACTGTCACCGATACATCAGTTTTAGTGTTTTATGTGATCTCAGACATGAAACACACTCAACATTTGGCTGAATATTGGAGCAGCAATGTCTTGAGAAGATGTCTGTGTGATGTAGTGTAAAGCATGGTGTTTGGTTAGTTGTGTAGGCGTGGGTTTGAGACAAAAAAGTCTCTAATTTTGCGAGGGCCAGATACAAGTTGTTGTCAAAATGTCCTTCTTAAACTCATTAAATCCAGACTGGAGTATGAGTAGAGCTTGAGGGATTGAGTCAGAAATATCCTCTGTACGGTGTCGTTGAGTCGGGCATGTACCTCTCTCTGTGAGTCTGAAGGCATGTTCCTCCACGCTGGGATGGTATTATCTCTGTTGCTACAGCTTCTAATAAGGAACACTGATCCGATCAATACCTAGTCAATACCACCCTGCTCACCTGCAGGGCCCTGCCCTACCTCCCTCCACCCTGATTTATAATTATAGTATAGTCTGCTGACACAACATGGGTTTTGTTTCCTTTCTAACAAATCAATTCCTATTTTAGTTTTCAGTTTTACTTCACTGCAGAAAATAAAAAACCGCTAACTTTTGTTTTATGCAGTTTGATTTCCGATTATAATATATTATAATGCATCATAGCTGTCTGGATTAGCTGAGAATCAAAGCTTTCAGTGCCTAAGAGGTTTCTACAGCCTTGGTCTCATCAGTCTCCCTCATGACTTTCTCTTAACTTTCCATTCATCTCAGAGCACAGAATCAAATCAGACAGACATTAACATGTACTTCAAAAAGTCTGTCACCAGAGACTAAACAGACGTGTATATACAGTACCAGTCAAACGTTTGGACACACCTACATTGTATAATGATAGTGAAGACATTGAAACTATGAAATAACACATATGGAATCATGTTGTAACCAAGTGTTAAACACATATGCAGAGCACTTGTTGGCTGCTTTTCCTTCACTCTGCGATACAACTCATCCCAAACCATCTCGTTTGGGTTGAGGTCGGGTGATTGTGGAGGCCAGGTCATCTGATGCTGCACTCCATCACTCTCCTTCTTGGTAAAATAGCCCTTACACAGCCTGGAGGTGTGTTGGGTCATTGTCCTGTTGAAAAACAAGTGATAGTCCCACTAAGCCCAAACCAGATGGGATGGCGTATCACTGCAGAATGCTGTGGTAGCCATGATGGTTAAGTGTGCCTTGAATTCTAAATAAATCACAGACAGTGTCACCAGCAAAGCACCCCCACACCATAACACCTCCTCCTCCATGCTTCACGGTGGGAAGCACACATGCAGAGGTCATCCGTTCACCTACTCTGCGTCTCAGAAAGACACGTCGGTTTGAACCAGAAATGTCAAATTTGGACTCATCATACGAAAGGACAGATTTCCACCGGTCTAATGTCCATTGCTCGTGTTTCTTGGCCCAAGCAAGTCTCTTCTTATTATTGGTGTCCTTTAGTAGTGGTTTCTTTGCAGCAATTCGACCATGAAGGCCTGATTCACGCGGTCTCCTCTGAATAGTTGATGTTGAGATGTGTCTGTTACTTGAACTCTGGGAAGCATTTATTTGGGCTGCAATTTCTGTGGCTGGTAACTAATTAACTTATCCTCTGCAGCAGAGGTAACTCTGGGTCTTTCATTCCTGTGGCGGTCCTCATGAGAGACAGTTTCATGATAGCGCTTGATGGTTTCTTTCCGTAGTTCTTGAAAAGTTCCGTATTGACTGACCTTCGTGTCTTAAAGTAATGATGGACTGTCGTTTCTCTTTGCTTATTTGAGCTGTTGTTGCCTTAATATGGACTTGGTCTTTTACCAAATAGGGCTATCTTCTGTATACCACCCCTATCTTGTCACAACACAACTGATTGGCTCAAGTGCATTAACTTTTAACAAGGCACACCTGTTTATTGAAATGCATTCCAGGTGACTACCTCATGAAGCTGGTTGAGAGAATGCCAAGAGTATGCAAAGCTTTCATCAAGGCAAAGGGTGGCTACTTTGAAGAATCAGAAATATAAAATATATTTTGATTTGTTGAACACCTTTTTGGTTATTACATGATTGCATATGCTATATGATTCCATGATTCCAGGTGCGTCCAAACTTTTGACTGGTACTGTATGTTATTACTGCCAGAGGCAAGGACATTTTTAGGGGTAAACCTCAGTGTTGTTCTAGCCTTGTAATTAAAATGTTTTTATTTAACATGTCCTGTCTACAGGGATATTACATTGGAGCAAATCAACACATGCACAGAATGTTAAAAAGAGGTTTAGAAAGCGGAAAAAGGCGTCCTGGGGGACAGAGTGAACACAGGTCACGCAGCAACTTCATATATTTTATACAGCTCAGAGTTTTCCCTAAAACAGGGCTAATTTACGATTAATTAACTAGTCAGAAAGCGAATCAGAAACCTACTTTTGGAATGACCTAGTTGGTGGTTGGTGATCAGTGGAATGTGCTGTATAGCACTCCGTGAGCTTTACTTCTGATTACTACGATATGCTAATGCTGGCACTGCCTGTTTCCCTGCCATCCATACAACTGCAGGTCTTTAAACATTTAATGCTGCCACCCCCTCGTCTCTCTCTCTCTCTCTCTCTAATTTTGCTGATGGGGAATCAAAGTCATTAACTTTCTTTAGTATGCTGCGTTTGTGCACCTCCAGCACTACAAAGACCCTTAGAATAATATCTATGTGTATTTCCTAGCTGTGCTCTCCTCTTTATATGATGTTCTATAAAGCAGATTGGTGCTGAGCCATAAAACAGAGGATTTCTGGAACAGGGAGATTGTTTTGCACATAATTGCTCTGAGACTCAGTTTTAAGAACTGCTAAGTCTCTCTGCATCCATTATGTTTATGCCTCTGTTTCATTAGTATATACGCATACAGAGAAATACGTGTGTGTTTGGTTTTACTATCCTTGTGGGGACCAGAAGTTCTCACAAGGATAGTAAAACAAAGAAAAGTCAGACAAATGGGGACATTTCGTCGGTCCCCACAAGGAAAAGGGCTATTTTAGGGTAGTGTTACAGTTAAGTTTGGGGTTAAGGGTAAGGTTTAGGGTGTGTGTGTGTGTGTGTGTGTGTGCTTGGTATGTACGCATGTGAGAATTAATGAAAGGTTGCTAGCTAGATAGATAGTATATATATTATTTATTGAATTGTGAATTCTATTTTCTCCCAGAGCGGTAGTGTAGTTATATAGATGGGGGTTGGTGGGGGTAGTGGGAGGTGGTACTGTAGCTAGGAGCTCGATCTGTGTGAACACCTGCTCTTTCCATGACACCTGCTCTTTCCATGACAGACTGACCAGGTGAAAGCTATGATCCCTTGTTGATGTCACCTGTTAAATCCACGTCAATCAGTGTAGATGAATGGAGGACATGGGTTAAATAATTTTTAATCCTTGAGACAATTGA